CTGTCTTCATGGAGATTTTAACTTCCAACTTATAGAAGTCTTTTATATAAATATGAGAAGTAGGATCATCTGAAGATTGTCCCTCACAAGCTTATTTCACCTGATGATTTAACATACTAATGCTACCTAGGTTATATTAGGTCAGAGCAAGTTATATCAGGTTATGCTATGTAAGGTGAAATTATGTTAGCATTAGGAATTATGTTATGTTAGGTTAGGATTTGGGACCAATTGCAAGAACATCTGCGGTGTACAACATGCTGTGGTAGCCCCATGGTCGGTCTGCAAGAAGCACTCTGGACAACATACATACATACATACATACATACATACATACATATATATATATATATATATATATATATATATATATATATATATATATATATATATATATATATATATATATATATATATATATATATATATATATATATATATATATATATATATATATATATCTACGATTCGTTATTGGAACATGAGAGATTTCGGTGGTACAGTACTCTCACCCCCGCCCGATGACAACTATGATGGAACTATATTTTGAAACCAAAAGAAAAGAAATAGAATTGGATGCATATAAATTGTATAAATCTGCAAAGGAATAATATTTTTTATACAATATCCTCCACATGAAGAATTTTATTGCTCTTTTTAAAAGAATTCCATGTTCGTGTGGGAACATCCGCCACCCTGTACTTGCCTCATCACCGCTTATATCCTCCAAATTCTCCTAACCATCATAAAAGGTAAGCCTTTAAGATATCTAATCCAAATAATTTGTGTGTAGGAATGTTTGGAAATCAAATTAAGCTAAAAAAAACGTCACAAATGGTCTATTTGAAGTGGTGAGAACTGCTCCATCTGGGATGGTGAATGAAGGTCCCTTAACAGAAATAATATCAACCCAATTTTCGTAATGAGTGCAATTAATAATCGTCCAACACTACCAAAATAAATAATGCATAAGTAAGATTACTTAGTAGCCTAAATTTCATATTTTAATAAGTCCAAATAGCCAGGTAACCAGTGCCAGGTAGTTCCCAAGCATGTTTCATTTGTGTATCAGTTTAACCACAATTTGTTACTTATAAGATAAATTCAGTGACATAAATTAATGGTTTTTTTTATTCAGTTAGTGACTCAATGTATTGCAAAAAGAACTACCTTATCACTTTTTGTGCAACATTTGGTGTGGTGGTAATAATTCACTTTGCCATTGACAGTGGTAGAATCAAGTGTAGATACAATATATTGGCTTTGTATGGCCAATGATTCCAACAAAATTGAAATATGTCTTCCAAAATAAATGAAATTGGTGGTATTATTATCTTTTCGGTCATTCCGGGAATTTTATGATTTTAAGTTGACCGATGTTTTCCAGTTAGGTAGGTTAGGTTAACATTTTGATGTAGAACATTAAAATTTTTAAGGGGCCTTTTTTTTTCCTATGAATTTCTCCCCCAAAAAATGGATCAAAGTTTTGGAACACCATAAAAATCTACATTAGAAAAAAAATTTGAGTGTGTGTTGCATATCAATCCATTGGATTTTTTTTTAACAGACAAAATTACCCACAATATGTAGGTGTTGGAAATTTATAAATATTAACCCTCATAAATAATGATGTTTCAGAATTTGCAAATTTAACTAACACAATATTAATGCCTTTATTTTCACTGGGAAGATTCTGGAATTTGCTACCTAACCTAACCTCGGAATTGGTTCCCAGACTCAGAACGGAAAAATTTGGAGACTCCGTAAAATCCCGAAATTATTCATCGACCAGAAAAAATGCAGTTTCTGGAATTTTCAGAAAATATGCCTTGGAGAAATCATAACATATGCCCGAGTTAATTTTTTTTTTGCACTGCATATACGTACAGTATACATAGATATTACGTATTAATATATTTGTGAAATTTGTGGATGATTTTTCCTTTAAAATACTTTACTCTTAATCATCCATATATTTTAACATATCCTGCTTTTAATAAAGGCTATATTCTGACATAAGCATTATCATTGCATTCTTATTCTTATTATTATTACAATTTATATTAAACATTAAAAAATGCAGAAATAATTTGCAATTAACATTGCAGACTGTATTGAGGATATTTTTAAACCATTTAATTATCATCTTGTATTGTTTAAAAATTTTAGTCTCTGATTAGTTGGTAGAATTTCACGAATACTATACCTACTGTATAGGAGTTCCATGACATTTGCTCACAAGATGAACCTAACCTAACATGTCTTCCTTTCCATTATAGTTGTGAGTACTGTATATGCCTTGTAAACAAATGTCTGCACACTAACTATATGAAGACTCTGGTGAGGATCCATATACAGTACAGTATTTACCTGGAATATTTTCCAAATAAAAAAGCATTTAAACAGCAGATACTTTTCTTCAACTGCTGGTTTAGTCCATGCCATTAACATATTGTATACGTTTTTACTCCTGACATTGGGAAAGTATTCATGTCTTGCTATCTTTCTTAGAGTATTTATTGCATTCCTATAATCAGGTGGAGACGAGTAGGAACATTATCTCAAGGTTTCATATCTTGTAGATAACTGGCCTTTATACTTGTATAATATGAAAGTAAAAATTTTTGGTACAAAGATAATTTCCTGTTTGATAGAAAACTAACAGTTATGGTGATATTTTTCAAGAATTTATCCCAATTCATCTGTACAGTGAGTTCATCACTGTCATAGCAAAATTATAATACCTAATACAGTACTGTACTTTGTTATATTCTACTGACTTCATCCACAGAACAGGCCATAGTTCTCTTTATTTACACTCACCCAACCCCAAGTTCGTGACAAACTTATTACTTTATTGTTAGATTTAATATGGATAAAGAAGAAAGGAAAAGATATTACACTCTATCCCTACGTTTTTATGGATGTCACAGGCTTTATTTACCTATATTCACTGTAAGTGATCATATTTCATGACCAGAATTGGCTTATAATCCAAGAAAATAGGAAAATGAGGTGCACCTTAGCTTGGGATTCAAGTTTTTCATGCTCGTAAATCGTGTAGCAAGAGTAAACGTTTCGTGCCACTGACAACGTTTTGAGGGTGCAAGCATACCAACCTCCCAGTCTTCCGCCAGTTGGTACACCTGACCACTACGATGACGTAGTAACAACAAACGATGGTCGGGTACCACCATGGTCCATCTTGAAAAATCACACAATTTTTCTTCCATTGTATTACGACCACTGGGATACCACAGCGAGGTGTACACCACGGCAGTTCTTGCAATTGGCCCTTGGAATTAGGTTTCCTATGTTAGTTTAGGTTATATTAGCATTATGGAGGTAAATCTTTATGTTAAATAAGTTGGGGGTTAATCTTTATGATATACAGGTACAAGAATTATAATAATGATTGATATGCAATAATAATAGTAAATAGAACACCAAGAATTGGCCATGAAATAACACTGTAATTCCAACTTTGAACATTTCTTAATTTTCTGGGATGCCAAGGATGATGTGAGACCAGGCTTATGTGAAGATGATAATGGTGATACAAGAAAGCGTATTGGTGAAGAGATAAACAGAATGATACTTTATGTGGTATGTAATTATGAGACGACCTAAGGGTACGACAGATGGGCCCACACCAGACATGTTCTTTGGTAAATGAGTAATTGAGAAAGGTGAAGAGGGAGTGAATACAGGTAGAAAACACAATATGAAAATGAGATTGACACAAGGTATTGTATCAGTCTGGTACAGTCACCCAAAAAAAGTCCTGTCGCCTCTCCTGCTGCTCCATGAAACCCAAGATTCAGAACTGTGAATCCGAAGCATTTATGGACTGAATATTGGATCAAGTGTCTATTGCTTCGGGTTCATGAGTCTGAATCTCGGGGTTTGTGGAGCAGCAAGAGAGGCGACAGGACTTTTATGGGTGACTGTACATACCATTGCAAATCTACCCCATCAAAATTTACGAGGAAGTACAGTAAATATGGATGCATTTATCCATGTACAGAAAAGGTACTCAGAATAAAATGAAAGAAAAAAACAAAACAGAACCATAGATAGATTGAGTTTGGCCAACCGGGCACCATGTTGTTACACAGTGGGTAGGAACTGGGAGGTGTTCTCAGGCAGAGAAGCTGCTGTTTATAGGAAGTCTCCCACATAATGATTGGATTTATAATTAATAACACATTATATGGAGAAATCTTTATTAATGAGAGGGACTTCATATCATTACCAATTTTATAATTATATATACTGTATATTATACAGTAGACCCTTACCATTCGTGAGTTTGCGATTCACGATTTTGACGATTCGCGGTAAGCAGATGGTGGCTATCTTTTAAGACTTTTCCCACAGTGCAACAAGTCACCCCAAGCAGCAACTCATGTTGTACTCTCAAAACTTTGGTGTTTGTGTGTGAAATGGCCCCTAAAAGACTGCCTAGTGTCAGAGCTAGTGATGCTAGTGGAGTGAAATGCAAAAGGCAGAAGTCAGTGATGACCCTGACAAAGAAAGTTTTATTATTAGATAAGTTAAAAGAGGGGATGAGTGCTGTCACAGCTGGTCAGTTGTTTGGTATAGGTATACAGAAATGCACTAAGGTGGTATAAGTTGCTATTTGCAGTTTTGCAAATTCGCGCCATTTCTTCAAATCTATCCCTCACGAATGGCAAGGGTCAACTATGTACAAATGTAAATCCATATAAATAAGTCAAGCCTACAAGTTTTAGTAAACATAATTTTAAGTAGAATAAAGTTTAGAATAGAAAGTGAGTTATCTGAAGAACAAAATGGATTTAGAAAGGGAAAAGAACTAGAGAAGCTATACAGTAATTAGTTTAAGAATTTTGAGTGAAAGGGTTTTATAAGTCCAAAGAAATTTATACATCTGCTCTGTTGATTTTGAAAAGGCTTTTGATAAAGTAAGCCCATTAAACTTGGAAAAAATAGGCATTAAGGAAGGAGATACACAATTAGAATTTTAAAGACTTTTTATTAGTAACAGACAGGGAGTAAGACAAGGCTATGTTCTATCTCCCACACTGTACAATCTATACAGTATTTAGAATTCTCATTGAGAGAAGTTATAAGTGGTAATGAAAGACTCAAAGTTAATGGTAAAGTAAAATCAAATCAAATACAGGGGGTATACACTGTGCAAAGTAGTGTGATAAAGCAGCAACCTTCCTGGAAATAAGCACCTGGCAGCTTTGTCGGCTACCCTTGGTCAAGTTGCCTTACTGTTTACAACTGTTGCACACACAGCCTACGTACACCATATACCTGTAAAGTACTGTACCTACATTGACTATATTCATGCTGAACTGCATAACTGCACAGTTTATAAACATGCTTATCCAATTGTAAACCTGCATGAAAATTTTACAGAATAAACATCATCATCCCCTACAGTACGAATGCAAACTTCTTCATCGGCTGAGTAAAAACATGGCGCCCATGTGTCACGAGACCTGCTCAGCCAATCAGGTTCAATCACCGAGTTGACTGAACTCTCTATCTATGACTGCAAAACACTAATGAAAGGTAACATCTGGTGGCACTAATCATTAATTGCCCAAGGAAGAAAAAAACCCTCCTCTGAATAATAAAATGTATCTTATTCTTAAAGGCCTGCAATCAAAACAGCCCCAAACATAAAACAAGAATCAATAAGAAATCTGACACAAAATAGATTTAAGAACTGGCTGCTGTGACCCCAGTGAAAAGAATCCAGCACCAAGAGAAAGGTGATGATGATATACTCTGACACAATGAACCCTGTATCTGACTACTGATGAAAAGAAATGAACGATGGGAAGAACAAATTCTTTTATCCATGTACGGGAAGAAAGGAGCTAATGGTGAGAATGTCATCTGTTGTGAAACCAAGAAATAACAGTTAGCTCTAGTAGACATTGGTCACGTTTCAGGTAGGACCACCAGCAGAGACAGGAAATATGACTGCGAACAACTTCATATTTTTCCCGCCTCTGCTAACGGTCGTGTAATATTTCAATGTGATTCTGATCTTTAAAAATGTTGTTTTTGCATAATGTAGTATTACTGATTTGTAATTTGTCTTAGTAGGCCTTATTGTGGGTTTTATAAGTATATATTAAATGCATCTTCCAAAAGTGTGAATTTGCTACCAGAGTTTAACAGTTAATTCATGTATAATACTTCTGATGAGCTTCCTACGTGCTCATGCTTGAAATAATGAATGTATGTATCTTTATTAATTTAGCTAAATATTTTTCTCGTCAGAAACGGTCATCCCAACGATTACGAATAAACTCAGACTTTCTATATATTTACCAGTATATTATTCATAGCACTAACATCAAATGCTTTTGGTAGTTCTTATTCCACATCTCTTTCTTTTATGCTACTGATAAACATTGAATAAGTACACTATTTACCTGACTCAAACACCAACATTCCAAATTTTCTCTTGTTTTTTTACCAGATGATCTAACTGTTAATTTACATGTGATTTTTGGGGGGTCAATTTTACATAACACTATATGAATAAAATATCAACAAGACAACCTTACAAAAAATAACCTAAGCTTGTCAAATTAATGATGAAACCTAAGATTCTGAATGATATCACTGCAGTGTCTTAAACTATATTAACAAATGGTCCCAGCATTTTTTCTTTCTTTTTTATTCTTTTTACAGGATTAGCCCACCAGGGCACAGGTCAATGATCCACATCAGGGCCTGGGGGCAAAAATATTATAATAATAATAATAATAATAATAATAATAATAATAATAATAATAATAATAATAATAATAATAATAATAATAATAATAATAATAGACCATAAATAAATGCAAAAACTAAAAAAAAAGATCAAGACTCCTGTAGTGAGAAATGATATATGTATACTGTATTGGGTTGTCAAAGTAAGAGAAACAATTGAAACCCTGCAATTGTGGGCAAATGACACAGAAAGTCAGATCAGCAACCTGGAACTTGGTCACAATTTTTGTGATGCCATATGGCAGCAGAGTCTACTGTACCATGAGACAACACATTATGCCTCCAATATCTTACCAACACAGATAATTCTAGCTAAATTTTTGAGAACACCTCAATGTAGTAAATACTGTACAATACAGTATAGGGAAGAGCTGTCCATCTACCCTTAAAACAAAAATTATGAGGTTTAGAGACCATGGCTGTTACCACACAGATGTAGCTCACATGCACAACTTTCTCAAAGGCATTTCCTTCATTGTTTGTGAAATATTTCACTTTTCTGAATCATGCACCTAAATTAGACAAACCAATTTAGGCTGTAAAGTACTATATACTGTACACACAGTGAAAAAAGTATCGCGCAGTGGGGGGGGGGGGTGTCTGCTGACTTCCGTAATGATCCATACATCACCTCATGTGCCGGGAGGGTTGGCATGCGTGCCTGTATGGAAAAGATTTCCACCTACCTATTACTTACGTCACCACAGGACCGGCAAGGACAGCAGAGCTACCACCATAATACAGGACCAACACACATATTCCACTATCCCTCGTCGTTGGTGTCATATTGTTTCACACATAATCCGTGCGGTACTTTTTTTACTGTGTGTACACTCGCCAACAAAAGTCCTGTCGCCTCACCTCCCTCTTCATGAACCCAGAGATTCAGAGACCTCACAGGTCTCTGAATCTCTGGGTTCATGAAGAGGCAGGTGAGGGAACAGAACTTTTTGTTGGTGAGTGTACATGTTAGTAAATATTTCTTACTATCAAAGATAATATTTTTCCTAATTATTAACCCAGATAGCATAAACACTTATACTCACATTCACTATGACTCATAATACTGTATACAGAACTCAACTTCTAACAAAGGTTTTACCTCTGCATGTAAAAAAACATAATTTAGGTTATTCTTTCATTATAATACAACTGCAGGATTGCTAAGAATTCCTCAATTTGACAATGTCTTGAGTATTAATAACTAAAATATTAACACAAACAAAATATTTATGTATTCACAGGATTTTAGTATACATGAAGGAAAAAGTAGGCAGAATCTTAAACTGCAATACTGTACTATACCTGCTAAGTGTAAGGATCACAGCCAACACATCCCCCAAACACCACAACATACCGGGTAGCAATGCTATGAATTCTGTTCCTGGATCACATTATCAACAGTATAGTTGACTGGAACTTGTGATGCCATTTGGACATCTGGTACATGTCTGGCACGGCAATATGGGCAATTCAGCTTGCCTCTCATAAGTGTTTCAGCTACACAGTTTGTGCAAAGGGAATGACCACAGCTCAGAGAACGCGGGCGTCGCTCAATATTGTCATAGTCTTCGAGGCAAACCTGACACTCAAACTTTATCTGCAGGTAGAAATATATATCTTGAGCAGTTTCTCTTCATTGTATATATAACAAATACCAAATATAATCTTCAAGCAAATCACGACAATAATTGACATACGATTTCTATATAATTTGTAGCCATTAACAAGAAATAGCAACTTTTCTAAAACCTTACAATTGATTATCTAAATTTTACTGATCAACCTCAGTGCAATGACCTATACCTGGGATGAAATATATACAGTATACTGTACACTAAGTTAAGTTAGGTTAGGTTAGGTTAGCATCACTGGGTAATCTTATGGTGAAATAAGCTGGGTGGGCTAATCTTTAGGTGATCCAACATAACTACAGTAGAATCCCAGTTATCCTGCACCTACAGGGATTACGAGGTGCCGGATAAAGATTTTTTCGGTTAGCTGAAACTCACTCTTATGATCCCCCAAAAAATCCTTCAATGCAGTGCTACAGGCTGACCTCACAAATGTGTGTCTCAGAAAAATGGACTTCTTTAATACTTATTCCACTTTATATAAGTAATGTGGCTTAGAAATAAAGAAAATATAATGTAAAACTATAAAATAAGAAAATGAAGAGCATGAGTGTGTGTGGAGGCGGTGGGCTATAACTGTGTGGCCACGCTGCATCCCAATGTGATGTCATGACATACACACAGTGCAGAGCGGCAGCCACTCGTCTGTGAGTCAACTGGTTGACTGCTTGACTGAAGTGGGTCGTGTCGCCCAGAAGATGGTTTGAGTGTGGAAGGAGCTATTTTTTGTACATAAAATACACAATGTGCTACGTATTTTATGATATGCTATGTATCGATTAATGTTTTCATAACAATAAATATGGCAACTCATCCCCGTCACGCGTGGTATTCAAACTCACGGTACCAGCTGATCTTGAAAGAATCTTTATTATTTAATTTTGATGCCGGTTAGTTGAATCGGCCAGTCGTCTAGTTACTGGATAACTGGGATTCTACTGTAATATTAGCTGAGCCCAATAAAATAAGGTACAGTACTGAATCCTGTGAACCCATTTTATGACTAAGAGGTGAACTAATGGCTCAAGACTCTTACAACCTGCTACTGTAGATCCCAGTACAAGAGTCATACTGTTACACTCTGGAAATAGTGACTAAAGTTACTGCAAAAACACCTTCTTTTCCTACCACACGTGGATCTCTCAGTCCAAAAAAGATAATGTCACTTCCCCAATCAGCTGTCACAAATCCCTCAGTAAATCTTCTCTTCCTGTTAATTTTTTCTCTCATAAAAAAGAAGATTAAATGGGACTTTAGTAAATATGACTGGCTTCAATCACTTGTATTCCAAATTGTGAAGAAAATGGTGGAAAACTTTCATCTCTCACTCGCAAAAAGGAATTTCAGGACAACCATTAAAAAAATGAAAACACAATTAGTAAGTGGCAACTAGAAAAAAAGGTGGCGGAAATGATCTACAGTACTTGAAACACACCCAGATGCTTCAGCACATTTGGTTTTGGACTGCACGTTGACACCATGTATGCATACTTCCTTCACCTCATTGTTGCTGGCAAATAAATGGCATTTCATAGTTTCTCAAAGGCCCAACAGTTGATAATCAGATGGGGTATGGTCCGAGTTGTATGATGGGTGACTGAAAACCTAAAACTTCAACTGCTGCATAATTTTACCAACTGATGACTCAGTTCTTAAATACATTATCTACTGTTTGCATTGATACTCAAAATGGTGGGTTACTTCAGGATGCCTTGTGATTAAATTGATTGTTACCCTTTTGTTGTCAAGAATCATATTTGAACAATTCTGACATTTGTATTGGTGATTCATTTGTACATGTTCTACTGTGACAAAGCTTGTTCACCACACTGTACAGATAATGCGTGAAATTCTGCCACCTTTACAACCTTATCCCAGAGAAAATGGATGACAGCAAGTTACTCTTCTTTGGTGCAAATCAAAAGTTGTGCTGCCATGTTTACAGTGTAATTACACCTGAAAAACTGTGTGTGAAGGTATGAAACTCACAAAGCAGTGATCTGTATGCTAAGTGCCTGCAGAAATACCAATAGCAAGCAGTGTAGACAATTAAGAAAAAAAAAGACAAATTATGGATACTTTTTTACTTATCCTCACATGTCTCGGTGTAGTGAGACAAACAACACAAGTAAATTCCACTTTCTAAGAGACTGTGAACTGTGTCAGGGAATTGAGTGCGGAGATTCTAGGCCGAGTCCGGTGACTTCTTAGTCTTAAATGACAAAATCCATAATATACCGGTAAAACAAAATTTTCTTTTAAAATTAAAGAAATCCAGGTATGACTGGTAATGTACCTGTACCGATCATGCTGCTATTTCCAAAATCTTAGAGGGAGCTGATGAGTTGTTACGATCACAAGCCCTTTGTAGAAACTTAAGACATAAAAATGATGATGAAACACTCGAATATGACTAATCTAATTCCATCCTATCAGAAAAAAAATAGTAAAGAAAAAAAAGCCTTAAAAACATTATTAGTATTATATAACACTTACCTCAAGACAGCTTTGAACTTTTGTGGGTGATTTTTCCATTTTGAAGTCTCCAAGTGCTAGTAACTGTAAGGAAAATTCATATAGTAGCTACTGTACATTGTGTTTGTTTCAAACTAATTAACACATAGATCTATACATCATATGTGCCATATAATTACTGTATTCTTAACAGTGACCAAGTTATTAAAGCATTTCTTAACCCCTTGTGTGTGGGGTCCCCATTGTGTTGAATAAAATTGTCTGGTGTTAGTCAAATAAAATATTGAAAGTGGCATCCCCATAGTGAAGGGGTTAAAGTATCATACTGTACTGTTAATACATAATTTATGGGCACATGACTCAAAAAGTGTATATCATGGTTAACTTATGGGCACACGACTCAAAAAGTGTATATCATGATTAACTTATGGGCACACGACTCAATAAGTGTATATCATGGTTAATTTATGGGCACACGACTCATAAAGTGTATATCATGGTTAATTTATGGGCACATGACTCATAAAGTGTATATCATGGTTAACTTTTGGGCACATGACTCATAAAGTGTATATTACGGTTAATTTATGGGTAGTACATGACTCAAAGTGTATATCATAATTGAAACAGCATGAAAAATTCTTCAACAGATGTTCCAAACACTGCTTCAAGACAGAGGTGGTGTGGGGTAGAAATATTTTTAAGTACATTACTGCATGTAATCCTAAATGTGGCTCCACCCTGAATACAAAAGGAATAAAGCTTGATAACCAATACACACCTGTGGTAGTTCTACACTCTGAAGGTATTCCACCACGTCAGAATGATCATTAGAGGCAGCCAAGGATATTGCAGTATCGTTGTAATTATTCACTGCGTCCAAATCTAAGCGGCACTATAAATAATGTAAAACAAAATAAAAATATAAATAATATACATCCCATACGGAGCAAATAAATTATGTTTCTACAAATTAAATACATGTTAACATTAATCAGAAATTAGAATCCTATGTTTGTTGAAGAATTAATATAAGTAAAATTAAATACAACCATCATTCTCATTACTATCAATATTTTACAGACACCTACACACATTCTAAAAAGTAACTTTACGGTGGGGTCTGATGAATTTCAGAACGAACACCGTGACTCCTGTTGCCTCAGTAGGGTTGTCAAAATCCCTCTGCCATTGTGTCATATTGTCTAACAAAAAATCGTAAGGATACTTTTTGGAGCAAGTTTACCGGATACTAACTGGATGAGGCCTCGTTATCAGTTCCTTCACCACATCAAAATGCCCCAGCATCGCAGCATACATTAGGGGAGTGTCACCGGCCCAAGTTTTGGTGTTCCGATGAAGATACGGCTGTTTATGCAAGTACCGCACCAGCGCCACTTGTCCTCCAACACATGCACTTGAAAGCAGGGTATAACCATCCTCATCTGTGGCATTGATGTCGCTTCCATTTTGTAAGTACTGCCTCACCTCCATAATTTTTCCATTTTTGGCAGACAAGTACATTCCCTAAAAGGAATAAGCGGTTAAATCACAGTGTATAAGAGTTACAAGTGAATACACACACAAGGTGTCTGGGAAAAAAATTGTTTTTTAGAGGTACAGGTACTGTATTTTGGAAGAGTTTGGAAGTGTGTTGATGCTAAGAGGTTGTGAGCTCCTTTACTGTATCATATCTCGCTTGTTAGAGATGACTGGTGTGGTGTGGAGGCAGTAAACATCAGAAGGCTAGTTCAGTACAGTACAGTATTTCCCCAAACTCATCCTAAAAAGTCATACAAGTCTCATCCAACTTCATATGCTGTACAACACATACAATACCTTACTGAATAAATAAAAATAATAAATCTATAATTCAAATAGAATATTTTCAAAAAACAAACTTAAAGAATATGTTATTTACATACCTCAGGTAATGCATGATAAGGAACAGATGGGCACGCACATGGCTTACCGTCATCCTCTTCCTGGAGAGAAAAAATTATAATTATCTTCAAGTTTGTCTTCTAAAATCCTAGCAAGAGTTCAATCTGACAAAGGAAGTGGAAGGTAAAACTTACAACTCTTTACTTCAGAGCTGCTATGGTTTACAAACTGTGACAGTACAATATTCATTTTTATTTATCTTAGGGTTTACCTGTCACAATTAATGAATCACAGCCACACACACATCCCTTGAAATCTTCCCCACCCATTCACACCTGTTCCTTCCACTTACATTTAGTCTTATATTGACAGATTTCCTACTGAAAGATCAATGAATTCCACACTTCTGCCTCTAAAAACATGAACCTGTCAGTTTAAAGCATAGATATAGTTCCACAAAGGATACACTATTTTGTTTTTACTTTTACATAACTCTCAGAGTGGGCAGAGTAAGAGGAACCCTCAATTACGTGCCCTACTCAAACACATATTTCCCAAGCCACACCCAAGTCTCACACTACATTTGCCTCCTCATTCTTAAACACATCTCAATGATGAATCCCTAACTTAGTAGTGCAGTTACTATCCACCATAAAAATGTAAATGACGTCCTGATTTATCACAGATACGGATGCATTTTCATGAATGCAAACTACTGTGCATATAATGTGATTCAATTCTATGGCTGATAAGGACCATTATAATATTTATATATACTGTATATATATATATATATATATATATATATATATATATATATATATATATATATATATATATATATATATATATATATATATATATATATATATATATATATATATATATATATATATATATATATATATATATATATATATGCAAGTAAATCACTGTAGGTGCGCGTGATCTAGGTATATGCTGATAACCACAAGGAAAGAAGAAAACACGAAGTTCCCACGAAGGTTATCAGCATATATATAGTATATATATATGTGTGTGTGTGTGTGTATAGACATACACACACAAAACACATACAAATAAATAATAATGGGAAAATCCTCTCACAAATAATCAGAAACAAATGTAGTACGTATTAAAAATGTTGAGTTTACCCCTAAGACTTGAGGGTAAACTCAATATTTTTAAAACATTTGTTTCTGATTATTTGTGAGAGGATTTTCCCATTATTATTTATTTGTATGTGTTTTGTGTGTGTATGTCTACACACACAGGTAAAGGAAATTACAGGTAAAGGAAATTAGTCTCTAGAACAAAGGGCTCCCTGTCCCATCCACGAAAAAGCCAACAACTTTAAAACAACCCACAGACATTCTTGGGTACATCCAGGATGTCCTCCGCGAATAATAGTGGACTGCGAAATAAAATACCAAGAATTATCCGGGCGCACTGTAGTTTCAATAAGCAAGAAATATCAGAATGTGAGATAAGTTCAGTGTTATGAAACTGACTATGACAAACTGGGAAAGTACTTGAAGAAACTCACATTACTCGCCATTACGTCTGCATTACTTGGTTAACTGCAGTGATCTGTAAATAATATAACCAATGTATACTAATCATGGAATCTGTGAGATGGGAAACAAAAAATCAAGCAGCAGCAGCAATAATAATAATAATAATAATAATAATAATAATAATAATAATAATAATAATAATAATAATAATAATAATAATAATAATAATACCTGCAATAATAATAATAAAACACAAAGATTAGCACATCTACCTTATTTCTGATTAAACACCTTAACACTAATCTAACCAAACCCCCCCCCAGGTATAATTCCAGCATCAATTAAACATTTACAGGTACAGTGGGGTATGCTATAACGAACGGATCCTACTACGAATATTCCTATAACGAACGGTTTTACCTATAAAATTGAGAATGCTATAACGAACGCAACTCCTACAACGAACGCGGATGAATACGGGACTATTTCGCCTGGCGCATGAATATTGTTGTACCGCGACCCACAACAAGAGCGTCAGGCGCCATCTTTGTCTCATTGTGTAGCCAGTGCACCACTGTTATTGTTGAAATTTCGTCTTTTGATGTGGAAATTCGCGTTATTTGTATAACTATTTTGTTATACAAGTATACAATTGTAACAATGAGTCGTCCAAAGCGAGTGAGAAAGCTAATAACCCTTGAAACTAAGAAAGAAATTATAAAGAAACGTGAGAATGGAAGAAGCATTGCGAAACTTAGTGATGAATATGGGATGGCTAAATCGACTATATGTACGATTTTGAAGAATAAAGAGGAGTTAAAAACTGTGCAAGTGGCTAAGGGAATCTTTAGACTTAGCAAAGCAAAGTGTAATGTGATTGAAGAGATGGAAAATTTACTCTTAGTGTGGATAAAGGAGAAAGAAATGGCAGGTGGTAACATTAGTGAAGCTATAATTTGTGAGAAGGCCAGACAATTGTTTGAGGACCTTAAAGCCAAGACTCCCAGTGGAAGTGATAGTTATGTGCCAGTGTTTAGGGGTACCTGCATGCTGAATAACACTAAGGTAAGATAAAGTACCGTATTTTTTACATTTTCCACAGAATTTTTCCAGTGTTAAGTGATTGTATTTGGGGGCCTGGAACGGATTAATCCTATAACGAACGAATGCTATAACGAACGAGGTTCTGGAACCAATTACGTTCGTTATAGCATACCCCACTGTACCAAGAAATTATCAACTTATCTTGTGGTAGCATAGCATGCAAAAGATCTCCCCTAAGTACAGTATTTACAATGTCCTATTAAAACTACTGTTCATCCTGATCATAGAAACAATTTGAAACATTAGTTTTTTAAATGATCAGGTGCTGTACTGTAACCAGTCAAATGTTTACCAAAGTCTGAAGAGAAGCACTAACATGATGTGACCCGTGACCTCCAACCAACATCCACAATGACTAACCTACCTCAGTACAGTATTACAGAAATATTTCTTAAGTTATTCTACATACAGAGGATTATTGGGCATGATTCTCAGGTTAACAACACATGTCAGAAAGCCAGAACTATACTAATATTAATTTACTCTTATTGTGACCATGGAAGTGCAATGAACAAGAACACACAAATGGAATCTAGTAGGTAGTAGGCAGGTCCCAAACAGGGAGGTACTACCGCCTGGGAAGATATTGGAAGCATAATGTATTGTCTAATGGTAGACCCTGCTGCCATATGGCATCACAAAAATTGTGACCAAGTCCCAGGTTGCTGATCTGACTTTCTGCTTCATTTACACACAATTGCAGGGTCTCAATTATTTCTCTTACTATTGACAACACAACATACATACAATGTTTCTCACTTTTTATTTTTTTTCATTTTTGTATTTTTGTATTTCTTTATGGTTCTTTGTTATTATTTTTATAATTTTTATTGTATTTTATTATCAACTTTGTATTTTATATAATTTTATTTACTATGAATTATTATTATTATTATTATTATTACAGTATTAAATTTTCGCCCCCCAGGCCCCGATGTGGGTCAGTGACCTGTGCCCGGGTGGGCTAATTCAGGTACTGAACCCGAAAAAAAAAAAAAAAGGAACCGTATTATATGTTATCTGAAGATGACCTACACATCACACCGTAGCTTGACATCAAAACTTTACATCTCACCACAGCAAGACACACAACAGTCTACATGCCAGCCTGGTACCAAATTTATACAAAGTGGCAAGTAGGCTGTGGCTTTTATGCCTACCAGAGTTCCAGTGATGTTCAGTAAGATCTTGTATTTCGCGGGTAATATAGACAGGAAAAATTTCGCCAAATTCAAATTCGCCAAATGCAAATACATAGACTAATGGGAAAAATAACAATATAGACTGGCCACTCTACACCAACCTCTGATTTTCCCATTTATAACCTCAAAATGATACAAATTCTTCCTTTATTGACCTGATTGTGCTTTCCAGAAACTAATTTGAAGGCCTTCCTCAAGTAACTTAATCACACGCTGCTTATCCTGCATCGAGTACTTGGCAAACTTAACTCCCTTATTATAGTCCCACTTCTCCTTTTCCTTATTTGGCTGCTTAGGTGAGTCTGTCCCACCAGCACCAGTAGAGGTAGAGGCCATTATCTTGACTCAACAGGTGGTAGCACCACCCAAAAAAGCACACAATAGCAGCCCGGGCGGTCGCTAGGATAGCACGGGCTACAACGCGATAGTTGCGTTCTTGTAAACCTCTTTTACATCCACTACCGGCAATTCGATCACCAGAACACTTCTTAGAAACATTCTTCTTACCTTGTCTTTCCATATTCATTGGAGAAAACAGCGAAAATCACGGAGCAATCGACAGAAACAGCGCGATTCAACTGATCACGTGATGTAAACAGAGAGCGCTGGAGTAAACCGTTATTATTCCTCACTGCGAAACATTCTTTTTACTTATTCCTTTCATGCAGTATTTATGGGTAACAGCTAAATTTGCACAAAAAAAAAGAACGAAATTTACAGAGTACCTCTCAAAAAACACTTCACAAACAAAAGACACGAATCAATTGAACATGTGATGTCGAATGTGAACTGTAAACACTGCATAACCCCGCGGCACGCTTAAAACGTTGAGGATGGAATCAAGCTATAGCCAATATTCTTAAGCAAAAGTTCGAGTTTTACAAACAGCGTTCCCCTATTCATCAATCGTGTTACAACGCGAATGCGTTGAGAAAACACGCGTTGTAACAGATATGAATGTAACTGGTATGAGGGCTGTGGTGTCATTCAAGACGGTGGCCAGCATTCAACTTGCTGGATCTCGCAAAATTCACAATATTTTACGCCAAATATATGACTTGGTTACATTAGGTAGTGCTCGCGAAATTTAAAAACAAGAAATGAAATCCACCAAAATATGAGATTTTACTGAATATAAAATCACTGAACTTTCATCCCATCACAAAAAAATCACTAAGCAGGACTATTTAACTTATTGCTGAGTTTAATGGCTGGCAAAAAATAACTTAAACAGTCTTTTGCACTAATATTTTTTTAACAGATTCAAAGAATTTTCAACAATTCTAATACAGTACAATAAAAGGCACAGTATCATTTTAAGCTAATTTTTTGGGTAATGTAATACCGGTAAAAATTAATCCTTTAATCACTTGGCATTAAATTCTTGTGTAAGTACTTCAAATAATAATAAAACCTAACCTACTGGAAGTAACAGTTTTCAGCTAAACCTGATCTAATCAACGCTAACCAAAGCCAATCAAACCAAACCAAACCTAAGCTTTATTATTTTACTTGGTAATAGTGGAGCAGCTGGCTAACACCAGTTGTTCCATTACACTAATTTTTTTTTCTCCAGATGTTCTTTGTATGACAGTAAGTAATAAAAACGATACAACATTTTATTTTCTAGTATTTTTATTTTTTTACCTTTTTAGTTTTCTCTATCTACAATCATAAAATCACCTGTGGGCAGGGCTTGAAGGATGGGGGAAATTGCGGGGTAAAACACCATGAAAAATTTATCATATGACACTAAAATGTCTTTACGTGCTTTGTAAGTGAAGAAATTAATTATTCACCATATATATTCTGCCAAAAAATGCTGTGTTCACTCATGTTGTTGTCCACTATTAGTTTGTTTCAGTAACCGATCGGGTAAATATTTAGTAGTTACCATCACCTTCTTATATAAAGAAAATGATGGAAAAATAAAAATAATTTGGCTATTCTTTAACATTTCCATAGGAAACTTTTATTTTCCGAGTAATTTAACTGATAAAATTACCAACAATATTAGATGTTCAAAGTGGGCAGGGCTTTGAAGTGGATAAAAAAAATGTGGAATAAAATACTAAAAAGAACAACAAACACACCTTTAAAAACTTTACCCAACCTTTCCTAATTTGTAAAAAGGTCAATAAGAATCAATTTCATGTTTATGAGTCTCTCCTCATCTGAACACCAAAAACACCACCGTGACATACCAAACACCAAAAGAGAACACCACTACACACATAACAGCAAACACACGAGTAAGGTAAGTTTTTTATAGTTTAATGATTTTTATAAGTTAAGAAAGGTTAGGTAAGGTTTTCAAATTTTTTTTTATTTAGTACTGTACTTTAACCTTGCATTTTCCCTCTACTTCAAAGCCCTGCCCAATTTGAACAACTAATATGGTTAGAAATTATTGGGGGTGGGGGGTCACATCGGTTAAATTACCTGAAAAATATAAATTTCCGATGGAAACTCAAGATTTTTTCCACTTCATTCTCCCAATATATGACTCAATATATATGTAGGTTTTGGGAACTACTAAATATTAACCGTTCTACTTCACTTCACCTTTACTTTTTACACAGTGGATATTTTGCCATGACCGGCTAAGTTCCTAACACTATTTTACCATGATTGTGCTCCGATTGGCTAATCGTCCATTACCGGCAAAAAAAACAGCAAAATATCCACTGCATTCATTTTTTCTGGGGATGTTGTTTGGATGATAGTAGGAAAATAGAAATGACAATGCACAGGTTTGGAAGTTAGGTTAGGTTAGGTTAGGTTAGGTTACGTTAGGTTAGGTTCTAATAGGTTCTGTGCATTGTCGTTTTGATTTGATTAGCCAATCAGAGCGCACTCACGGTAAATAGCATTAGTAGGAACTTAGCTGGTCATGGCAAAATATCCACTGCGTACTTTTTACTTAATTTATATTTCTGGGGAAAAAATAGAAGAGAGACCAAGTACAGTACAAGGAGCTGTGGATAATCATTTTATGGTTTTAATGACCCACTTCAAACAGGTAATGCCAAGCGTCACAAAAAAAAATCAATTGAAGCGTCAACTGTCTGAGTTGTGAATTAATGTCACACCTGCGAAGGAATAATTTACAACCATCACACATTGGTTATCATTTTACTGATAAATTGGCAAAGCTCTTCTGTAATTTCACCCCTTTGTGAATACATAGTTGGTGTGCAAAGAGTTAAGATGAGTAAAAAATTTTTAACAGTACGTACAGTATTTTACCAATGGTTATGACTCGCTATCAACATCCTCCCTAGTGGTCTAGACAGTAAATACTGACGACTGACCCCCCGGCAATTTAGCATAGTAAACGATTATAAAAACACTGGTACATTTTTACTTTAGGACATGAGTCCCAAGGGGTTGACCAATATGTTTTTCCAGTTTATTTTGGTGTTTTAAACGAACCTGACCGCCACATTACAGCCAAGAAGACAAAGTAGTGAGCACCTTAGGCATCTAAATATCTACCCAACAAATCATTTGCACAAGAAATGATCATCATATCACAACTCACTGATGAAGAGAGAGTCAACTTAGGATAGAGGCCAGGTTTCAGTTAGGTTAAGGCAGTTAGCACCAGAAACGAAGATCAAATTCGTTAAAATTACAAGAACCATAGGAAAAACATATAAAATACACAGTGGATATTTTGCCGTGACCGGCTAAGTTCCTACCAACACTATTTTACTGTGAGTATGCTCCGGCTAATCATCCATTACCGGTAAACAACACAAGAACGATATGTGACCGTGGCTGACGGCATTTGGCATTTATTTTACTGAGTCGATCGTTGTGTAGCTATAAATATACCAAACCAGGCGTTGTTCAATTCTGTAAAATTTTTCCACTGACGTTCATATTATAAAAGAGGCGACTTTACAAGAACCTAATAGAACCTGACCTAACCAACCAAAGAAACCTACCTAACTTCCTAGCCAGGGGCTTGACCCCGCCTCCCCCCTCTCCCATCATATTAAACAGAAAGTACTTAAACTCTCCGAGCGTACTCACGGTAAAATAGCGTTAGCAGGAACTTCCCCGGTCACGGCAAAATATCCACTGTGTATTTTATATGGAAAATCAAAACCTGGCTACTGTGATAAACTGACCGAAGAGAAGAAAATAAACACCAAACAAGTAATTCGTCGGCAGATCAGTCGTCAATATTAACCTCGTAGGTTTCGCAGCCCTCCAATTCTAATAGTCATCATTATATTAACCTGAAAGTATCTAATATGTCAACTCACTTTACTCTGCTTCCCACACTTGCTGGCTGGAACTATTGTGTCTTAAGTCTTAACCAGTCAGACATTCACTAGTTTGCTTATAAGACGACAGCAACATTCGTCCGGATCATTCTACACGACCTGTCTTCTGCTCTGCCCAGAGCCGTAGAGACCTCCCCTTCACAAGTGTCTTCCTTACCTTTAAAATATATCTTTACTGAGATCCTATAATTAATTTACTTTTAAACCAATAAGGTAATATTGAGTTATAATTAGGGATAAACGTTGACTGCACAAACTTTCGTAGAAGGCGCCAGTCGACGACCAAGCCAACGACGTCACCATGTTTGAGTTGACCAAAGACTTTTGTTTTTATTGGGCACTACCCCCTACATCCTTGTGTAAGGTGAAGCGCAGAAGCGTTTACAGCGCTCAACAGGGAAGCATGCTTGCCTTATGTCTCATGAGTTAAGGGCGTAGAAGCCTGAAGAGTCAAGGACATAGAAGCCTGAAGAGTTAATGGTTTATGTCTAAGCAAGTTATTGGAAGCTCCAACAACTTGTCCCTGAATACGAATTCGCAACTTTCGATTTACAGCAGGTACCTACTTTTCTGCTAGATGAACAGGGACCAAGTTGACTAGGAAGAGTGTCCAAACAACTTCCGCCGGCCCTTGAATCGAACCCGTGACATCTTGCTTGCGAGGCAAGAGCGGTACCGCTCTACCCCAAAGACTCTTTAGTTTTTAATTTGACTATTTGGCTTTTATTCTTTCCAACTTACTCGCAAAACACTATAGCTAGTCTGTACTATAAAAAATGTTTCTCGGAAAGTCCACCCAAGAGAAATATTAAAAAAAAAATATAAAAAAGTATTTACTATTTATGTAAAAAAAATTGGTCAAGATTGTATTTTCTGAATGAAAGGGGACCCATTTAAACTGAATTGAATTGAAACAGTTTATTTAGCCAGAAAAACACAGATACAGAGTGGATAATAATAACAATATTAACATGGCTGAGCCATTAAAACAGTTGCTTAATGTGGTAATGATTAGGTGTTAGTGATCAATCAGTGGCGATTCTAGGATATTTTTCTTGGGGGAGAACGGGGGCAAAGGCTCAGAAATTTCCCTAATTTGTGTGATTGAGGGAGCAGCCAATTACCCAAACACCAAGAAAAGACTAGAGTAGGTTGTGGACTGTGGGCACGTCTCAAAACCAGAATGAATAAACGTTTACTGTACGCATAACATCTGGTGGCTGGGGATGCCACCTGTGATCAATGGATTCCTTCTGAAAGAGGAAGCCAAACCTTAAATATTCAGTAATATACTGAACTAGACGATATACTGTATACCTGTATACGTCGTCCTTAAGTCTAAAAGAGGAGGATTCATCAGTAAATATAATAATATATATATATATATATATATATATATATATATATATATATATATATATATATATATATATATATATATATATATATTGCATAATACATACAAAGTGTAATATAACACATTTTATATTGCACTTGATCCTCAGAGATAAACAATTGTTCGAATCTTCACTGCCAGTTTGTTTTAGAAGTTCAAGAGGATATATATATATATATATATGAATTCAGCTGTTTTTATTCTGCTTCCCCGATTCGGTTCTTTCTATTTCCATCACCCATCACTGCCCAGATCATCCTTGGCGTGGAGGGAGATAGTTGACACGGGCGTTGAAGCCTCCCGCGCCATTGACCTTGTAAGACACCACCCTGAGGCGGCCGTCGGGCTGCAGGAGGTGATAGCCGCCAGACACCACCCCCTTATTGTCCTTCACTTCGTGGGCGCCCTTCACGTCCCCGGTGGTGAGACTATTAACTGTGTACCCGTGTGAGTACTGGGGTTCCTGGAGGAATGTTGGTTCATTGACAGTAAATTTATAGTTTATTCTAAGATTTTATATTCCATTCTTAAACAAACTGTCTACATGGATACAAATGAGTGAATAGGCAAAAAGAGCACATTACTGAACAAAAAGCTTCGTCTTAATTCCTTTTGAAAATTTAAAAAGAATATTACAAATATATGTAAACTTTTTGTAGTTCATTCGTTGGGCAATACATATTCTCCTCCTTTACCTTGATTTGTTGTTTAATTTTCTTACTTGGTGGCTATCACTTCATTGTGAACTGGAGTCACATCTAACCGTGACAAAATATCTTTATAAACTTGAATTAACTATTACTTGAGTGATATCATTTTATTAAGCCACAAATCACTGCCAATCTGACCAAATCAAAGTCCTACCTTATGAAAATTACTCCACAGATGAAAACAAGCCTCTTACCTGTTCGAATTCATACACAGGTGGTTGCAGTACTATATCTGGATGGCTGTGAACAGTGGGAATCCCACCACTGTGTCCCTGACCTGAAGGCTGCAAATTCCTGACGATGGGGAAATTGTGTGAGTCAAGCTGGTTGCTAGCGAAAGTATGATAGCCGAAAGGATTTGTCACCAAGAAATTTGGATTTGGGAACCTCGGCAATGGATGAATGTGTGGGTAACCCTGGGGTATGACTGGGTAGCCGCTGAAGTTAGGTACAAATAACAAAAAGTTGGGGTTCAGTTGGCTACCATACGACGGTACTCTGTTTACGTTGGGATGTAAAGGTGGCTTAAAGACGCCTGGAGTAAATGTTGGTGGGTGCAGAGGTTCTTGAGGAGATGTTGACGGGTTGGGAAGTATTGGAGGGGATCTTGTTATTTCGGGCGACACTGAACTTGGTGTCGTTGGTATTGGGAAAATTATGCCAGTTATCGATGGTCTTTGGGTTGTAGGTCTCGGGACAAATATCGTTGGTCTTGGGACAAATGACCCTAGTGTTGTTGGTCCCGGGACAAATGGCCTTGGTGTCGTTGGTCCTGGGACAAATGGTCTTGGGACAACTGGTCTTGGCGTCGTTGGTCCTGGGACAAATCGGCTTGGCGTCGTTGGTCCTGGGACAAATGGCCTTGATGTTGTTGGTCTTGGGACAAATGGCCTTGGCGTCGTTGGTCCTGGGATAAATGGCCTTGGCGTCGTTGGTCCTGGGATAAATGGCCTTGATGTTGTTGGTCTTGGGACAAAGGGATTTGGAGAAAAATTATCTGGGAATAAAATATTTGGCGTTGAGGGTTGGGAGGCAATTGGGGGGAAGTTGGATGGTGTTTGGGAGGGGCGACTTGGGACTACAACTCCTGGAGCGAAAGGAGTTGGTGTGGTTGGTATGAAGTCTGGGGGATTTTGAGCAGTTGGTCTTGACCCAAAGGAATTCTGAGTAGTAGATACTGGGAAGGAGAGACTTGGTGTTGTTTGTCTTCGGTCAAAGGGATTTGGGGTAGTTGGCCTTGGGATAAAGGGACTTGGGGTAGTTGGCCTTGGGATAAAGGGATTTAGAGTAGTTGGCCTTGGGATAAGGGGATTTGGGGTGATTGGTCTTGCATCAGAGGGACGTGGAATGGTTGGTCTTGGTGTAAATGGTCTGAAAGTGGTCGGTACTGCAAAAATAATATTAGGCCTTGGCGGCTGAGGGAAAGATAGGAAAGGTGTTGTTGGCCTTGAGAAGAGAACGTTTGGAGTTGTAGTTACTGGGAACAACGTGCCTGGGTAGGATGGGCTATGAAATATTGTAGGAGGAGACTGTATGCACGGCTGCCCTGACGGATTACCAAAAGGACAACCACCCTGGAAGGTATCAACTGGCTGCTCTGAAGGATTATCAATGGGTCTATTTGGGAAACCATCTTCAGGCCGCCCCGAGGGATTATTAAAAGGTCGACCTTGAGAATTATCGAAGGGCTGCTCTGAAGGATTACCATAAGGACGATTTGGGAAACCATCTTCAGGCCGCCCCGAGGGATTATTAAAAGGTCGACCTTGAGAATTATCGAGGGGCTGCTCTGAAGGATTACCATAAGGACGATTTGGGAAACCATCTTCAGGGCGCCCCGAGGGATTATTAAAAGGTCGACCTTGAGAATTATCGAGGGGCTGCTCTGAAGGATTACCATAAGGACGATTTGGGAAACCATCTTCAGGCCGCCCCGAGGGATTATTAAAAGGTCGACCTTGAGAATTATCAAAGGGCTGCCCTGAAGGATTACCATAAGGACGATTTGGGAAACCATCTTCAGGCCGCCCCGAGGGATTATTAAAAGGTCGACCTTGAGAATTATCGAAGGGCTGCTCTGAAGGATTATCATAAGGACGATTTGGGAAACCATCTTCAGGCCGCCCCGAGGGATTATTAAAAGGTCGACCCTGAGAACTATCGACTGGGGGCTGAGGACTGCTAGAAGGACCACCGACTGGACGGCCAGTTAACGGATCGATGGTTGACCCAGCACCAACGTTGACGAGTATACCTGCGCCCACCGGCACCTCTAAAGCTCGTGCCGGCCTTTCTATAGCTGTCAAGAAAAAACAACGTTGGATCACCAAACTATACAAACATATATGAATCTGTAATATATACACAACACAACAGTGAACTTCCTACGTTTATGTGGTAATATCTGAATCTCATGTAATAAATGATGAAATTATATTTAATATCATGAAATATTTATAAAACTGCCAAAAGTTGGTGGGGTTTTCTCGAGCGTCTGCAATGATCATGTTACATACACGGGTTAATTCATCGTTGCAGCATTTGAAAATAAAAATAAAGCTGCAAACGAAATGAATTACAACAGCAAAATGTATGTGTTCGATGCGTATATCCCATGTGGACTTAAGGAGCGTTTTATAATTTTGTCGTAACCCTTGATGTCTAGTTGCTTACGTTCGCCATTCTCGCCAACTGGAGCTGGTTTTAGCACTGGCGTCAACTCCCCGCGCCTTCGTTGGATGAAGTCTCTCCTGAATGACGCCGCCTCCAGGAACCTTGAAGGAGGTGCTTTGGCCTTGTTACGATCTGAAATAGAACCCACTGATATTATTTATCCTGTTCTTTTTTTTAATTGAATGAAAATTAAATAATAACGAATATCAGATTATAAACAAACAAAAGATGTACTTTACCAGGTGAATCTGTAAACGGAGGATGTCGTATTCCCTTTTCTCCTGCACCCACCAGCTGGGGCATAGGATTCACTTCGCCTTGAGGGAACGGAAACTTCATTTCCTGCTGCAGCTCGAAAACACCCTCGGCGTTCGGGGCCTCCGTTGATTCCGCTATGGATTTCGGGAATGAGTCAGACTTCGGGGATGAATCAGACTTCGGTGATGATTGAGAAACAAGATTTGACCCTGTGTCCGGGGAGGAGATAGAACCCCAGACATCCTTGGGAACTGTGACGGAACTCGAATCCCCATCGGAGTTATTACTATCAACTCGCGGTGAGGGTCGAGGAGCGTGTATTGGAGCAGGTACAGCACTGACTACTGCCACCACACACACCGCAGCACACACAACCTGAAGTCAACAGTAACACCATTACCACACATGAAATAACCTCAAGGGCTTCAAGATAAATCATACCTTATATAAATATTAATTCAAGACCGCATATTAAAAACATGGTATTGTGATTTCTTGATTTAATACCAAAGTGCTTCTTCTAATGTTTCCTGACAAGACTGATCGCTCGATGCTCCACCAACGTAAACAAACTTTTCTTCGTTAGTGTGGCTAATTTTTTACACCAGACATTTTTCTATCAAATATACCACTTTACCTATCAATTAATTAGAATGACTGAGAAAAAAAAGTTATGTTGAGTTTGATAAGTATTTTTTTTTACCAAATTTGAATGATTTCTTTATCAATGCTTATTTGGATAAAACTGCTAGCCTAGTGCAAGGTCTATGGTCTAAAGTTGACTTCAGTAAGCACAGATATACCCAGACATACTGTACCTAAATAATTATTTAAACATACAAAACAGTCTCTTAGAATGAGGATTGTGTCGATTTGCGTTCAGTACAGTCTTGACGCAGACGGATCTTAGTTGATCTTGTGAATCAATAATTACATGTATTTTTTTCGGACATTAGCCCACCCGAGTACATGTAACTGACCCACATCGGGGTCTAGGAGGCGAAAACATAATAATAATAATAATAATAATAATAATAATAATAATAATAATAATAATAATAATAATAATAATAATAATAATAATAATAATAATAATAAATACAAATTATAATAAATAAAGAACCATAAATATTTATAACAGTGAAGAAAAAAGTGAGAAACGATATATGTACAGTATGTGATGTCATTATGTCATTGAGGCAGAATGGCAGGTCAGCAACCTGGGACTTGGTCACAATTTTTGTGATGCCATATGGCAGCGGGGTTTACCATTAGACATCACATTATGCTTCCTATATCTTCCCAGGAGGTAGTACCTCCCTGTTTTATAGCTGCCTACTACCTAATACCTTTATTGTCCACTTAATACCTTCACTGGCAAATTATACTTCGACAGCGAACAATCAGTCATTTATTGCCGAAGTAAACGGATGCTGTGCACTTATTGTGTACACTGTTACACCCCAACCACCAGTCAGCGGTCAGCAGCTACCCTGGCCGTAATATCCAGCGTGGTTCTTGGCTAACTGTGAGTGAAGACAAGGCAAGACAAGACGCAAGTGAAAATAAATAACTTAAAAATCCTCCAAGGTATACAGTTAAGTATTAATATATGAATTAACTGATAAATAAGTCACGGTAATCGCCCCTGGTTAGCCCTTAAAAACTTACATTGAATTATCCACAACAAAACATACACACTCCCTATGTTGGAGTATCAGTGCAATTTCTACGGCATTTAGACTATTATATCTGAGTCCCAGTTTAAGTGAGTCAGATCTGTTCTCACATCACAAATTCGTAGAAAACGAACTCGTGCAGAGGAAATAGCTCCCTGCCTCACTGAGTAAACGTCCTGCCATCAAGCTACACACCAAGGCCAGCGATAAGCACAATAACACACATTCTACTGCACTCACTAGTAATGGAGAAATGTAATGATTACCTACTGTGACACGCACATGTCCTGCTGAATTACGAAAAATCATTAAATTTAAACCACCACTTATGACCTATAATCTATATTTACTTAAAACCTGATTATAAAGCATGTACTCTTTCAAAGTAATAAAAATATTAATACTGTACATAACTCTTTTCGATCCCTTACTGCCCTCGGTTGCGCCCGGTCGAGGAAACATCCCCTAAAAAACTGAACCTTCTTGAGAACAAGAAGTTCTTCGATAGCAAAAATATTGAAGGAATCACCAAAGTAGAACGCCTGCAACACGGAATTATCAAGATCACGTACGCAGAGCTTGGACAGGCCAGACAACTCGTGGATAACACCATCACCGGCATCGAGATGCTCTCATTTGCCTATGGTTGGGACAATCTGAAGCTGAGAGTTATCGCCCACGGCGAAATAGCCCACATGGACAATGGAGAACTAGAACAACGACTAGACAGACAGCTCGGCGTTATCAAGAGGCTGTCCGAAACTACAGCACTAATCGGGCACCCCCAGACCATGCCCAAGGAACTTCAGTTGGCCTGGGTTACCATCCCAGTCAAGCCATACATCAAACCTATACGCTGCTACAAATGGCAGAAATACGGACACACCGTACACAAGTGCAAAGCGCAGGAGGATGTATGCTCCAAGTGTGGAAACACCGGGCATCGCTACACCTCCTGCCCCAACCAAGAGAAGAAGTGCGCAGCCTGTGGCGGCCCACACTCCTCCGCCGACAAGCTATGTCACACGTGGCAGGAGCAGTGCAGGGTAGCCAAGGTTAAACTCGAGAAGAAACTCAGCTACAGGGAAGCTCTCCTTGCAGTACACTCCCAAGATAAGAAAAAACAAGAGACCAAGAATCAAAAAGAGAAGAAATACAAGAAAAGACACAATTACCAACTACCCCTGTACCAGGTGCCCCTGTTGCCCCTGCACCAGCTGCCCCTGCTGACCAACACCTCAAGATGTCCGACTTCTTCCACTTCTACCGTCCGCGAGCAACTTGGACACGAGGAAGAACAAGAACAAGACACTCGTGAATGGACAGTCCAAGAAAAGAAGAGGAAGAGAAGATCTTCGTTTTCAATATAACAAGACTCATAGCAGCCCGCCCATCAGAAACCAGCAATTACACCAAGAAACGTTTACACAAGAGACCAAGCCGACTTGAAGTAAATAACTTGTCGCCATCCACTCTGTTGCCGAGCCTGGCCATTCACCAATCAGAGCACAGCTCACCTCCCCCACGCAAGCAGTGTTTAAGCCACTGCATCCTTCTTCTCTTCCTAAAATTCACTTCATTCTGCCTTTATCCTTCCCCTGAACCTACTTTCCCGTCACTAGCCTTTATTCGTTCATTCGACGGCCTATATAAGTATTACAATATATCCACTATGGTTGTGGGTCTTACGAGTCTTACCCTACGTTGCTGCACCTGAAGTTTTTTCTTTAATTCTGAATAAATTTCAAAAATAAATAACTTTAAATAAATTTAATTTGCCATATAATATGATTTTAACAGTAAAAAAAAAACAGATTTCGCGAACCAGATCAAACCCACTGCACAGGTCTTCGCCGACTGTACTGAGTAACTGTACTGTTTGGTGAAGTAAAGGTTAACACGTTGACCCCTGCTGAGATGATGTTATGTAATAGATGATCCGGAAAGCGTAAAATAGTTCGGTGACGTACTGTCTAAAGAACTGTGATTTTCTTGCACCTCACTGATCACTCCACTGCAAAATCTGAACAGTTGATGCTTACATACATTACTTGAACTGTGATTTTCTTGCACCTCACTGATCACTCCACTACAAAATCTAAACAGTTGATGCTTACACACATTACTTGTATATTGGTCATTTTTTTGCAACTAAGGCTTTCTTTTAAACCTTTCAGTTCCGATTTCGGTGGACAGCATATTTATCTAGCTACTTTAAAGGGATACATGTACACATTAAACCTGCACAGATACAAGTCAAGAAACTCAAATTAGGAGTGGCCCATTCATCAACACTCCAGTATTGACTCGTACAAAGTCAGCCATTACAAACGCTTCTGTGACGTATTTAATGAATAGAAATAGCTGTTTTGAAAGACACCACTAATTATCATTTTATAAATACGATTATCACTTTATATATAAAGGAGATTGAGAGCTTTGCTAGAGAATATGTAAACAGTTCAACTAACCAAATGGTTGTCATCCAAATACTGTACAGTACGTTTCCCGATATTGTCGAATAGCGTCAAGGTACCTGGGTTAAGAAAACCGTACAAACATTATCACCCATCCTTAACTCCTTAACACATAGTCAGTAACTCGATACATAATAACTATTCCAAACGAAAATATATTGAATATATAATCTACTAAAGGGCCATATCGTAGCCAGACATTAAGATTTGTCTGACTGACTGGTAATATTCACCATTATCGCACTAATAAAGAATGGAAAGGACATCAACAAACACCTTGAGTGGCGCCATCTAGGCAACCTCTCACACCGACCCAGACAATAACACTCCCGACCACACCCGACTGACCAACTTATATCAGCGCTGAGCCTCAAGGACGATCAGCCTCGGAACGCATAACTAAGGGATAAGAGAGGAACGGAAAAAAGAGAGGAGGGGAAAGGAGGTGTGACTTACGGGATGACGACATGTACAGTAGGAACTGGGTGATACACAGGGGAGCAAAACTCAGAAATTATATTCTTTTATGAAACAGGAAAGATAAAATAAAATAAGTAGACCAAAGTACAAAAAAAAACGCACAAAGATAATATAAATAAATAAATATAATTATAAATATATATATATATATATATATATATATATATATATATATATATATATATATATATATATATATATATATATATATATCTTGATAAAATCACACGGGAAGATGGAAACCGTGTGATTTTATCAAATTATCTTATCCACGTTTTCATTATTATTTACATGAAATATATATATATATATATATATATATATATATATATATATATATATATATATATATATATACAGTGTATATATATATATATATATATATGTATACAGTATATATATATATATATATATATATATATATATATATATATATATATATATATATATATATATATATATATATATATATATATATATTTGTCAGTGACCCAAGTTAAAATGCTTTTAAAGCATGTGAGTGGATATATATATATATATATATATATATATATATATACTGTACTGTATAATTATTATCTACCTTACGTGCTTTCAAAGCATTTTTAACCTTGGGCCACTGACAAATATATTTATGCTACATAGTATTAGTTTTGTACTGACCATCACTAAGGTTTAAAGAATACATTCTCTAATCAAACTTGCTTCAACTAGAAGTCTTTCTGTGACACATGATTTATACACTTCTAAACTGTTTTCCCAATCTATGGGATGATTATTGTTCCTTATACGAACGAAAAGCGCACTGCTTTCAGATGCCGTTTTAATATTGTACTTGAGCTGTTATATATATATATATATATATATATATATATATATATATATATATATATATATATATATATATATATATATATATAAAATACTAAACGTATGTTTAGTATTATATAATTATTATATCAAATAATGGTTCTTCAGATAACAGCGCCTCCACACCCCTTATTGCTAGGGACCAAAGAAAGGTTATGCCCCAATAATCCTTTAGTTCACAATAAAAATAGAATGCCTAGTACTGTACTGTATCGTCTAACATTATACATAAAATAAATAAATATATAAGCTACATCGGTTGATGAATACACTCCACATATACACATACACACTGATAAATCAAAGGATACCTTAATTCATGTGGTGATAGCGTATGTCGGCACATTTATCATCGGTGAGCTGAGACGCGGTGAGCAGTAGTGTCACAGGGCTGGAGTCTCATCCAGGGTGAGTTCGGGGCTGGCTGTCATCAGTGACATCCACACAAGCACACACTACCTGCACCATTCACTCACCAAGAGTTCTCCACGCACCTATTTTTTCTGCGGTTGAGAAGCTAAGGAGGTGTGTCAGTATAAATGACTTGGAACAAGATATTTGGTATCAACATGGTCGAAGAGAATTTTATGTAGATACCATCTTCCATCCGCCTTTAGAATAAACTAATTAATTAGATACAGGGCCTTCGCAATTTCGGAGGTTAAATTAGATAACAAAGATGACGCAGCAAGTGTCCACAAAAAGCTCCTATGCCATTGATCAGAATTAGGCTAATTAGCATTATAATACCCATGCCTTAAAAAATAATCCTTTACTAAAACTACAACCATTGGTCAGAATTAGCACAATAACACCTAAACCCAAACTCCATGCCCATACGGTCTGTTTAATCACGAACTGGAAGGAAGACCGTTCCACTGTAACCTTGATGGAACGTCAGGTTTCACCACACAAACCTGTGTCGAATTGCAGCGCTTCGATACAACTTAAAGAATGAAATCTTCGCATCATTTGGTGTTAGTGGGGAGGGAGGAGAGAAGAGAGAAATACAGGCAGAAAGGGAAAAGAATAATACACACACACACACATATATATATATATATATATATATATATATATATATATATATATATATATATATATATATATATATATATATATATATATATATATATATATATATATATATATATAAGGCAGAGAAAGAGATACAGATTGATAGTATCAACAAATAACTGAATAAACAGAAAAAAATAAAAAATAAAAAAACGAGAGGAGGGAGAGACAAGGCATTTAACAGCCTAGCCGTGTCCATCCTAAGCATCAAGGTCGCTTTGCTCCACTGTGCAAAACTAAGAACTAGGCAAAATCATACTTCGTGAAGTGTAAGCAAGGACCCACCACGGACACAAATTTGCATGAAATATTGTCAATGCTACTCACCGCCAAACATCGAAAAATAAGTACATGTAATATGCAGTTTTACAATACTTTTTCAAGAAAAAAAAAACAAAAGATTTTAAATCTTTCATTGCATTGAAATACTGCGTTGAATGAACACTATTGCAATAAAAGAGTCAATTATAACGATGCAAACTTTAGAATAATATATAAAATTGAATTAAGTTTCACTTTTTGTTTTGGAAGATATGAAGGAAACGTGGTAAGTTTTCTTCTGTCTATTAGTATACACTATACAGTATATATCTATTTTTTAGTATATCGGTAAAGGGTGGACATTGCTTCCAAGGTTGAGTTCAATCTTTCCCTCCACTTTTGTATTTTGAGATGCCAGTCACTGTATACGGACCAATTCTTGAGGTATGTTATCAAGTTAAGCATCGTATTTGCAAGTTAAACACATAATAAGAATACCTTATTCAATGGGCATTATTTTAGTGATTGGGATAACTAGCCGTAAGTTTATGGACCCACCAAGATATATCATCGATAAGCCAAGCACTTCCCTCTCGTAAAAATCATCACATTTTATTGAAGCAGATTCACTGAGGAAAAACCGTGTCCAAGGATAAGTAAAAAAGTAAAAATAAAAACGCCATTTCCTCAGTGAAAATTATTTGATATGTTGAACATATTAAAGCATAGGAAAACTGACCAATACGGGGATAGCAGATATACAGTCATCACTATTTACTGTAACTTGCAAGAATGCAGAGGCCAAGTGTTGTCCTAACAAAAGATGATAAGTTATATAATCCTCAGAGCAACTCACACCACCGGAAGTGATGTCAAGGAACATATCTTTCACTGCTCTATTGAAAGTGAGTGGAGAAGTAAGAGGAAAAATGAGTGATGTTAAAACAGGTATATTACAAAAACATAATAGCTAGTTGATATGTTATTGTAACATTTTCTTGCTGCAAGTTTTTTTTTTTATTCCGGTCGAGTGTGATTAAAATATATATACTTTTTAAACAAATTCAAGCATTATAGATTACAAATATACAATTAAGACCTGTCAACTCAAAATAGTGTTGTTTCCACTCCACTGTGGTACAATAAGTACAGTAATAAATAGAAAAAGATGTGCGTACGTGTATATTTATGAAAGTAATTCCATGTTTATTAAAGTCTGTGTATACTCGTGTACAGTATTGTGTTTGTGCGCGTGAGTGTTATGGCATGCGCTCCTGGCTACGGTTACATAGGGACGGACGCTGGGGACTGTGAAGGCTAGTCACCAGTGCCACCAAGGTAGGTAGGTATCTACCTACCTTGACTGCCACAACTTCCTCCAAGAAGTCACGGGCTAATAATATAACCTTACCGCTCAGTTTTCGCTTGTTCTCTGCTTGATTTTCTCTCGTTTCCCACTAGCTTCCCGCCCTCTTTCCTTTCGTTTCCGCACACACTTGGCCAATTGGCCTTGTTTTCCGGCACTATTTCTCATATTTTACATTAAATCTCCGACCACGTACTTCGTACAGCGTAGCAGATCAATAGTGCCATGGTACAGAGGTCATGATTTGTTTTCGCTGTACGATACAGGCCATAAACCTTTTTGTTTTGGATACAGAGGTCATGATTCTTTTACCTAGAGGTCATGAATCGTTACACATTGATCCAATAGTCACGCATAATTTCTGCTTCACGGTGCCATTATATTCATGAATACGAAAATACGGTTATGAATATTGTGCTACGATTGCGTTATGAATCAGTTTGCGATGGAAATTATTGTGTTATGTGTAATATATTCAGGCATGAACGGTGTACTACTGTAATCATGGCATGAACGGTGTACTACTGTAGTCATGGCATGAACGGTGTACTACTGTAGTCATGGCATGAACGGTGTACTACTGTAGCCATGGCATGAACGGTGTACTACTGTGAACATGGCATGAACGGTGTACTACTGTAATCATGGCATGAACGGTGTACTACTGTAGTCATGGCATGAACGGTGTACTACTGTAGCCATGGCATGAACGGTGTACTACTGTAATCATGGCATGAACGGTGTACTACTGTAGTCATGCATAACGGTGTACTACTGTAACATGGCATGAGCGGTGTACTACTGTAATCATGGCATGAACGGTGTACTACTGTAGTCGGCATACTGTACTACTGTAGTCATGGCATGAACGGTGTACTACTGTAGCCATGGCATGAACGGTGTACTACTGTAATCATGGCATGAACGGTGTACTACTGTAGTCATGGCATGAACGGTGTACTACTGTAGCCATGGCATGAACGGTGTACTACTGTAATCATGGCATGAACGGTGTACTACTGTAGTCATGGCATGAACGGTGTACTACTGTAGTTATGGCATGAACGGTGTACTACTGTAGTCATGAATCGTTTACTAGATTCCAGACGTCAAAAATCATCGTAAATATTAGAACAGAAGCTCATGAAACATATTATTATGATATACTGTTATGATTGGTTGTCTGTGAAGAAACAAACAATAAACACATCTGCAACACATTTCTAAAACAAAATCGAGTTTCCTATATAACAAATAAAAATTTTTTGATTGACATTTACATTTCGTTAAATGTAAAGTATACTAATACAGTATACAGTATACTACCATTCAGAGTGGTGACCAAACAACCGTGTGCTATTATATATTTAAATACCGGAAGTGTAGAGTACACTATCAAGGACAAATGCCAGCCACAAGGCTACAGAAAAAAATAAATACCCAGGAAAGCAAAACAACAGTATTCGTGAAATTATAGACATTTTGAAGTTTGTTATTAACGTATAGAGGGAAGGGAAATGTTAATCTTGGAAAAGCATACTTGACTAAGTATATCGCTAAACTCGATAGGCCTACTTCTTAGCTCTATCACCTCTGTAACTGTTGCTAAATCTGTCTTTAACTGCATTTATTCGGGGATTTTCAACAGTGAATGGGGTCGTAAGTTACTGAAGTTATTTTTGAATTAATGTTTACAAATCAAAGCTAGATTCTCGGGGGGCGCACACTGCATACTTTATTTACCTACCTAACCTAATGGCCACCCCAATTAGAGGTGGCCATGCCAGGGAAGAAGTCTATTGGCCTGTATAGGATCTCTCCATTGTTGTTTACAGGTAGTCTTGCCAAGTGCTATTTTGCAGTACTGTTCTCACGTCTTCCAAAACTTGAGCTGTGCGAAGAAATATTTCGTTATATTCGTCTTGCTTGATGTATTGGAGAGCTTCTTTTATCCTCTTCACCAAATGATCGGCTCGTTAGCCGCTTGGGCGATCGGCCACGTCTCTGTTACGCACTGTTGGCAAGTACTGGGCATGCACCGGCTCCTGAACCTGCTCCAGTGTTGGTCAAGTCTTGTCTTGAAAGAGCTCACACTCGGTGCCATCACAACACTCTCTGGTAGATTGTTCCAAGAGTTCACAACCCTCACTCCGAAAAAGTTTTCCCTCACAGTTTTCTGGACTTGCGGCTTCTTCAATCTTGAGCTGTGACCCCCTGTGAGGCGAGCGTCCGCCAGCTCCAAGTAAGGACTCTCGACGAGTAGTGCCCCTTGAGATGCTTATACACCTCAATTAGGTCACCCTTTGCCCGGCTGTAGTATAAGCTAGGGAGGTTCAGGCGCTCCAATCTCTTAGGGTAGCTGAGGTGCCGAAGTAGTCCCCCTGTAGTCTTATGTTGGTCATGCGTGACAGATAACTGACGGTAAGTCGGTGACGCGCCTGACAAGTGATGACATAACTGTCGAGTGTCGATTAGTGTCGAGTCCGAGGTGTTCGACATCAGGTGATCCGGAAATAATGGCTTTGTTTACGTGTCATCCCATAATTTCAAGAATAAATATTGACCCTTTTCATGTCTTGTGTGAAGAGTTATTAGTTCTTATGCCCTGAAAAAATTACATATTGATATATGTTATGGCTAATAGATTGGCAGTTAATAGTTTAAGAAGAAAGTCAACCGAAAAAAAACCCAGCAGAAATCTTGTTTATTCAGAATTGGTGAAAATGAATTATCCGGCACATTAGTACAGTAAGCGACTATAAATATATGTGATAAAAGAAGAAATAACGTTTGTCATATTCATGTTGTTAATGATATTTTTAATAATATTTGATATTTTAATGAGCTGAGCAAAATGCACCAAAAGTGCTACTAGAGGTAAGTAGCACCTTTTTCTATTGACGATGACAAGTGTATTTAAAAACCTGGAGTATGAGCTTAGAAATTATAGTTGCCAAAGTGCAGTTATAGATTGAAGATTAATAAAATGATAAAGTAAAGTAAATTAACTTAGCATCAGCAAAGAGTACAAGAAGCGCTACAATTGTTTGTTTACAGATGGCGGTGCTGACGCTTCACCCCATGGACCTCGTCTTTAGTTCCTCTCCAGGCTAGACACGCACTTTCTAGCCATAAACTTAATTGAACTTGACTTAATATAGTATAATATTATTTATAATATTACAGTACAATACAAATATGTTTTTTGAACCTATTAAAATTAATTTAACCTCGTAGAAGCAGGTGGTTCATTCTGTACCTCTCACCGTAAGAAACTAATGATCACAGCAGTGAAACACGTTGTTTGTCAGCAAGTGTAATTACTAATTCTTCATTAGCTTTTAATTATATTACAGTACTTGTTAGCTATATTATGGAGGTGGCTAATTCAGTAAATATTTGTCAAGTGTGTACAGAAGCTACTTCGAAGTATAAATGTCCAAAATGTAGATTAAAATAGTAAGTACCCCTGTATATTCTATTAACTTTCCATAAATCTAATCCAAGGCCTTATGCCCTAATAATCAGCTTAGTGAATTGCATGTTTGCAACCACTGCAATTAGTATTTTCGGTAAATTTGCATAAGTGCACACAACTGTTAGAAAGTAAAAAATATGTTTTTCCGGTGTTTTTATGTGTTTAGATCGGTTATAACCTTCATTTCCGTCGGAAATTTGCTGTTTTTTTATCGTTTTTTGGGGTGGTGGGGCGTTTTCCAACAAAAATTATGTAAGCGAATATAAAAAACACGAGAAAAACAAACCTGACCTAACCTAACTGACTCACCATATGATGGAATCACTTATTTCTTACCTTATTGGCCTGGTTCTCGTTTGTCGTTGGATTCTGAGAATAGTACATGATGCTGACGCTGATTCTCGCTTAACGGGGGGTATAGGCGGGCAGCTTGCACTTAGGACACTTTACTAGGGTCGGGAGAACACCATGAGATTGAAAAAATGCCATGTTTCTTAGTTTTTTCTTCAAAACTCGCAGTCAGCTCCATATAATTGAAGTGACACCCATCGCAGACTTCCACGGTCGGAAATGAATTTGAATTTCAAAATATGACCCAAAATAAGAATCGAATTTGATTGGGCCAAAAATACAACAAAGTAAACCACAAATCATTTTAATTGGTTGTCCCCCCCAAAACGCTTTTGATTGGCCGTGTGACGTGCACAGAAACGCATGCGAGTGATGATTTATGAAGGAGACACGCAGTGTGGGAGGTGAGGTAGGCGATAATGGCAGAAGATAAATGGAAGAAACTAGATCAAATTTTGGATACGCTCTCTCCATTATTATACATTTGCGACGGTAATGTAATAAAAGAAAATTTTCTTATAATTAGACGTCTTATTCGAATATGATAATAGATTAGGGGTTGGAATGTTGTGTGCGGAAATGCAATAATACTGTATTTTCTTTGCTCTTTGAAACCGTCCAATATAGTCAGGGGTAAGTTACGGTATTTAGGGGAATTAAGAACTTAGCAGACTGAGGAGCTGCAGAAAGATCTCTTTGAGCTTCAAGAATTGTTGAAGAAATGGCTGTGAAGATTCAATGTTGCGAAATGTAAGAGGCTGTACCTAGGACGTACCAACGGTAAGGAGGCGTATCATAATTATATCCCAATGAGATGAAAAAACTGCATTATTTAAAATTGTGAAAAGGTCCTAGGTGTGTACCAGTACGTTGACAATGAAGCCTGAGCAAGTGCAGAAGTATCACTTGATGCCATGACTTCAGCTGCTTGGCAGGTTTTATTCATGTGAGGAAGAAGTAAACAATGTATCCTACTAATTTGTGCTTCTTTAAGTGAAATCGAAAAGTAAAAATAACAAAAAAATATAAATGTGCAACGGAAAGACTATAAAATATTTTTTGCTCTTTCTCCCCATGGACCGTAAACATCAATATAGAATTCTGTGGTTGTCCTTTAGTTACATAATCTAAACAATTGATAACCAGTAACATTTCCATACAAATGCTTACATCAACTGCTACGTTATATGATTTATGCTTTCATGATTACTGTACCTGATGGCATGGTGTCCTGGTTACCTTCAGGCAATTTTTTTAAGCAAGTTTTAGAGCTGGGTGCCCTTCTAATTTTTACAGAATGGGAATTTGGCATTTTATTTAGGACTTCCAAGTGCATTCTTTATTGGCAAGTCAGGGTTGCAACTCCCTTAGGTAATCAATGATTAATTATTTATCTGCCAACCTATAGCCTCACTTAATTATGTAATTTAATTAATTTAAATTGTTTGGCTCATCTTAACTCAGATAAATCATATAATGCTGTTCCCTTTAAACATGATACTATATTTTTATTAATTTTATTATCAAGGTATTGTAATCTGATGGGTATCACTATGTTCACCACTCATAAAATCCTTTTTCTTGACAGCTGCAGCGTAGCATGTTACAAGGTCCATTCTCAAGATGAGTGTCGTGTCTCTCCACCTGAGCCCAGTGTTGTAATAGAGTTTGATACTAAAGGCAATATATCATCTCAGAGAGTTCTCTTCCCTACTGATGATACAGTTATGCCTCAAACGTTGGAAAAACTACGTAAGTATACATTGGTAATAGAGAGATTAAAACTTATGGTATTCATTTTCATTTAGTTATATTATCCCTGTTAAGTGACTATTACCAACATTGGAAGGATGATACAGTACAGTACCCTGTTTAGAAACTTCCATGTACATACTGTACTATGGTTTCTGCACAGGGCCATGTACAGTATGTATAAATGTTCTGTACTTATATCCATCCCTATCTCACTTTTATGTAACCCTTTATGGTAGTTTATATAATATCTAAGGCTGGCCCTGCTCTTGGACATGCTGATTGGAAATCTTAGTTTAAAAACCACAAATTCAAGTGAATGAGGATTACATATCCCTACTTGGACTACTATCATAACTACTAATACAGGTACCACAATTATAAATAATACCATCATACCACCATCATTATAACTGCCACCACCACCATTATAGCTAATATTGTACAACAACCACCATTATAACTGCTGTACTACTACTATCATCACCATTATATAATGACTACTACTACTACCACCACAAATATAATGACTACTTTTCTACTACAGTACTACTAAAATCATAAGATAGAGAAAATCTAACCTATTCAAGGTGACGTATATTGCATCTTGAAATTACAGGGTGTACAGTATGCCTGAGATGATGGGAATTCATGATATGATCGAGTGTCCTCACGACAATCATGAATTTATTTTTTATTACTTGGTATATAAAACACAGATAGCATTACAGTATAATTTTATGTTCTTTGCAAGGCTATCTTAGAGGTCTTATTTCTTCTCTTTGAACAGACTATGGGATTTATTTTATACGCTAATCCGTATTTATGTTCTTTTGTGTTTGATACTCTGTTATATTGGAAACGGTTTATTAGAATAGCATTACTGTATGATTATACAGGTATAATAAAAGATAAACTACAACAACCACTAATAATTTAGAAGCAGAACATGGGGGAAATAATTTATTAACTGATAATTTATAAACAACAGAAACACCAGGATGACTTATACAGTATGTACTTTGTAAATTCACAGTTATTTACAAAATCTTTTCCATGTATTTTGTATATAAAAATATATTTAATCCAAACACAGGTGATTCCAGAATCCTTAAAACCCTACTGAAGAATCCCCATTTAAGGGATGTGATAAAAGAGGTGGACAGTGCACGCAATACTGATGCTGTCATCCAGAGAGCCATGATGGAACCCATCTTCACAGAATTTGCCGATGTTTGCCTGAGCCTTACAGAACCAGCAGAGGAGGATGTAGATCTTGAGTCAGGCGATGATGCTTAGAGGTACTGTACGATTTATTAATGATAAATGTTCACTTTTGTTAGATATAATTTCTATACTGTACAATAGTTCTTTTTTGTAATTGTTCACCATTGACTGTCATTCTAAGGTCATGTTCTGATAGTTAGCAGTTGATGAGTTTCAATACAGTACCTACGATCAAAATATACAGTACATCCCAAGAATTTATTAGGCATTTTACTTGTAGACTGATATATTTTTAGTATCAATCCCCTGGGCTGAGCTGAGGTACAGTAATACTTACAGATGTGTGCAGTTCCATAAGTCCAGAATTTGTGTAACTTGATATTAGCTATAGCCACATATACAGTATAGAGTTTATTACATTGTCTAGTACACTTGACTTAATGGTGCTAATTCCTCAGTACCAAAAAAGTGTCAGATAAAAAAATGGGGGAGGGGGAGAGAAAATTAAAATGAAAGTTAAGAGGAAGGTTGAGGAGGGTGAGCCTAGAACCCCTCACCATTTTTAAATATTTCCTACCACCTACATTCCTCACATAATTTTTTCATCTTTCACTTTATTGTTCTTCATTCCTTCATATCACAAACAGGATACCTCTGCCTTTCTCTCATCTGTGACATTCAGTAGTTGCACAAAATATTCTGTTTCTCATCTACCCGCTCATTTGTCTTCAACTGTCATAATCATTTGTTCTCGGTTTTTTTTTTTTTTTAGTACTGTCTCTTCCATAAACGTATGATAGTATAATCCCGAATGACAGTAAGGCTTTATAAAACCTATGTAAAGTCCAAAATAAACTACAATAAACTTACACAAAAGTAAATAAACCAATACAGTACTGTATATGTCTTGTCTTGTGGAAAAAAAACAACACTTACTTATTCTTAGGAGGCTGCAGCCATCAGGAACTAGAGAGGAGGAGTATACCTGAAGGTTTTGCAATGTGTGTTATAGTAACTTTCAGAATACACAAAGCACGGTTTCATAATCACAACTCTGAAATCCGACCACTCACTTAATAGACTTCCCATAAAAAGTACATGAATATGAATAGCAGCAGAGACTTGATTGTTATCATTGTTTGAATATTCAAATAATATTTCAGAATTTTTTTTAATCAACTTCACAACACCCAAAGGACTGTTTTATGATCAAAACACTAAAATTTGAGAGTGCAGCGAGGCACTGAGTGTAATGGGAGATTTTTTTTAAAGGACAAGTTGCCTGCTGAGAGAACTGAAATTATATCTTCTATGCACTGCCCAGCCTAATTCACTAAACAGTAATTAGAAACTACATTGGGAGTGAAGGCCCCGCCATATGACGCTCTTTGGATGCAAACTTAATTTATGGCAAATATTTTAATTTCTATGACACATTTCAGCCACTGATCAAATTTGATAAAACCAGCTTGACTAGCCTTACACCTCCTTACCATTCATTTGCTGCTATCCTTTTACCATTTTCTTTCTTATCTGTCTGTACTTCCTCCTTTATACAGGTACAGTATTTGATAGGATAGAATGAATAGGCAAAATGGGTGTGTGTAAACTTATCACCAGAAATAACTTATGAAATTGCACTAAAATTTCTGGAATGTTAATTGCATGATACTAAGTAAGAAAATGGAAACAACAATGCACAGAACCTGATCTACCCTAACCTTAACTAAATTCCTCCCTGGACCCCCCAGCCATATAAAGTTGCTAATCAGGGACTCCCATAACAGGAAAAGAAGCGTACTTTACCTTAAAATGAAGGTAGATCAAATGCAGTAATGGCTTCCGACTGTTACTCCTAAACATGTATTTTTCCTTTAATGTTACTTCCACATCTCATTTTGGATACTTGTACAGCCTTCCAAGATGTCCTTGATCACGTATTAAGTTTTTAATACGATTTTGATCCCCAAGAAGCACAGATGGCTTGGGATAACTTAGATTATCCAGAAGATGCCATTATTGCATTTATATGGCAATGCGTTTCTGATTCTCCTTGTGGAAAAACAACAACAGTAGGAACACACAGCTGACTTAGAATCCAATCCTATAAAATAAAAAATAAAAGAAAATCAATCCATTAATTTTATGTTACAGTATTACAAACCCCACATCAGATCATCCTCCATCGTTTCTTGTACATGTTGACAAAATCGGATTCACTTCCTTATATCTTGAGAGTAGCAGGACGATAGTTGCCAATGGAGATGTGATGCTGCCACTTTTTCGGTAAATAAATTATTTCTTCACATACAAAGCACTTAAGAGACTGTTAATTACTGCGGTATGATCTTTTTTTTGGGGGGGAGGTGGGGGGGGGGGCTATATTTTAGCCCATAATTTTTCTCTTCTTTCATGCCCTGCCCACTACAGGTGAAAAAGTTGTCGTCAAGTGCTGACCCGACCCCTCCCACTTAGCCACATCTAACACTGAGAGCACCCATCCTGTAAGCACAGAGGTGAAAACAGTGGACCAGCCCTTAACCACTAAGTTCCTCCCACTAGTTACATAGGCTGGCAGATGTGTTTCTAAGGGTGCAATTTGAGTCTGGATTGCTCTACCAAATGTGTACTAAAATGGAAAAGCCGTTCGTGTTACATACGAAAGACTGTGAGGCGGTGTGATTGTAAATGGCACTTTTTGCATTGAAACCGCAAGGGGGTGAGATTTCCGATCATGGCCAGGAGTGGAAAAAATGAACGAATTCTAAAAACTCTTTCTGGTGATAATCGTCTCCCCTTTTTATCCAGCAATCTACAATGAGGTGTCCAGAGAAGCTTGTTTGTGGATGGCATCAAATACTTGAAGATGTTCATTGGACATGTACAGTAGACAATATAAACACTTATAAAATAGGCTAACAAAAGGTAATTCATTTTAAGTTTTCTTTATTCATTTTGGACACATCATTGACACAATGTCATGCTGTTCTTCAACCTATGATAGAAATAGTTGAAAATATACATTATAGTCATAGTCGACACCTGTTCAAAAATAGAATCGGTTCGTTTCTAAACATACAGTACATGGCAAACTAATATGGAGGTGTTTTCTTTGTTTTATGAAGTATGTGTTTAATAATATTTGAAATATTGTGAGTTGTTGGACCAATCCACAGTTGGCTCAAATATAAGCAGAGAGAAGAAAGAAGAGAGACAGAGATTGTTTGATGATCATCAGTTACAAGCCATACAAGTAAATGTATTGACGCCTATAGTCCTGATTGTTGTGTCAAGTTTTTTTTATGGTTTCAGCGAGTTAAAAATACTATACTGATTTTATTTAGATAAGCTGAAATTTCAGGGTTTGGACTGAATTCTCTTGGGTCTACTTTATGGTGATAAAGTCAAAGACTCTGATACATCAGTTATCATTAAGATTTATAGGGTATCAATACTTACATAAATCTGATATTTGAGATTATACAATGTTCTGTAAAGTTGTTCCTTGGACAGCCAAAGTTGTATGTAAATATAATTTTTTTTATCACAGTTGTAAACTGTCATTATCTGACCTCATATCATACAATGGATTCAGGGTAGAGTCAACCCAAATTTAACATGAAATCTTAATTTTGACATTCATTTGTAGACAATGAAAATGTTAAAATTTACAAAAGGAGATCTATACAGCACTCCCTAAAACCACAAAACATAATATTCACAATCATCCTTAAAGAGCATGGAAATAGGTAAATTAAATGCTTATATTGTATGTAGGAATTCATTTTACTGTTTGGAATGCTTATGGTCTAGTTAGTCATCCACCACGACAGACTCCTCAATCCATTCTTGATCCTTTTATTTATATAACCGAGTTTTCGTTAGATATACTCCAGCATGACACAGTACGCAATTGTAAACTAAGCCTGAAAACCTTCTCGTATGCTCAATCTGGGACTAGCAATTACTAAAGACCTATAATTGAGCATGGAAGTACTCAAAGTGTTCTTACTTTACACCCTCAACTCTTACCTCAATTGTATAAGGTAACAACCCATGAGTTATTGCAAATGAGGTGTGCAGCTGATGACAACCAGGAAGTGGTTAGATTGTACCAACGCACTGGTACATAGATTGAGATTTCTTCAGGTACAAGATAACCTACTGAATTGGAATTTCTTGGGATGAAATCATTTGACAAAGGACAAGGGATATATCAAAATAAATGTCAAGGTGTCAAAACAGAAAACAAAAAAGTATTAAGTCATATATCACATAATCTTCAACATATTATTAACTAATTAGGAAAAGCCTATATGGCAACCATATAAAATGAAGAATGAGAGACACTTGCATGAAACTTGCCTAAGTATCCAACATTATGAAAATGAAGTACTATACATTGCACATACAGTAGTTAAAATGAAGTTGGGAAGCTTGAGAGTAATGGGGCATAATTTGCTATTTTTACCCAATCACAGATTTTCCTGCTCATTGTTAAAGAGATCCATGTCCCTGTGGAATACTCAGTGCTGTAGCTTGAAGAACTTCTTTATTGCCCTTTAGTCATTTGCCAGTCTTCACATTCCACAATAATCAAAACCCTTTTTTTCTTTTCTAAATGATATGTTATTGTCCACTTTTACAGTATTTACTATTGGTTTTTTTCTAAGAAAAAGAATGAGTAATCAGTAAGTTAAATTTTTATAGAACATTGAGCGAATCATCACAGAGTTATTCCACATGCGTCATTGCAAATATATACTGTATGACAGAAATCCAACATATTAGGATCCTGATCATGTTGTACACTGTATATCCTCTTCATCCAGTAAGTGAAGACGTGATCACGCACATGGAAGTTGGTAGTCTTAAAATCTGACCAGCAGATAACTACCGACAATTCATGACCAAGTTTATGATGAGGTGATTACTTGAAAGCCATCCAGTTATGAATTGTTCTACTCTGAATTTTGTATTATGGGGCTAGTAACCATATATAAACTGAAAAGATTTCTGAAGTTAAATTTCTATATATAATTGAAATACTACAATGTTGGAACTAAAGGTTCTAGAAACCTGCTAAACTGGCAAAGTACAGTCTACTGATACAGTAGTGAACACCTAGAACTTCCTCCCACAAAACCACTTTACTAAATTGGATAAAGAGCTCTTTGTCTGATCAAAGCTTCAATCCCTTGATGGTAATATCAATGGACGAGTTTCTGATCAATACGAGTAACAGCATACAGCAGTGTTTCACATTTTCAGAGATATTCCTGGTAATGAGGAATCCATGAATTGGAGTTATCATGAAGCTCATAAGTGTTTCTTCAGGAAAGTTTAAATCAAACTTCCTATTGTTTTTCCATATCAAATTGTCTCACATTTAATAACGTCAGTTTAGTTTGATTAAATGTAAATGTTTTTCCCCAATTGGGAGCAAAATCATTCTTTGAATTCATTCAATTGGTCCTTGAGCCAGAATGTATGAGAAGGTATTTTAGGTAGGGTTCAGAAGTGCATACTTTGGCGTCGTGTTTTAGCTTGGCCGCCATTAGTCACTTTGTAGTTGTGATCACGTGTAAGCATCAATCCCGGGCATGAGAAGATAGAGTCCTCTGTAAAAATATAAATAAATTTGTTTGCAGTGTTACATGAAATAACTATTGTAAGTCTTAAAAACAGAACATGCCTATGAGTAAACTGTTGTCCACTAATTGAGTTTCATAAAGTATTATATTTTGCATCTGAATGAAAACTTTTAATTATTACAAAATTAAACAATTAACAAAGATGACTTACGATCTTTGAGGGTGTGTATAGTATGTCCTAAAGACTCAAAGAATGGGTGTTTCATTGCTGTTGCTGCCGAGATCCTTTTCTTGGCTTCATACTAGAATGATATAAACTAATAATAGTGAAGAGTTCACTTATGCACATTTTTTATATACAGTAATTGGATTACAGAATTATAGAAAACACAGTTACATAATTATTAATTTTTGAACCTTTAAATAATTCAGCAATCTTATTTCATATCACTTACTTTCATCAATTATTTCACCTGTTATTTTCAATAAAAAAGTTAAAATAAGAGATATTTAATATTTAAACAACTGAATCAATAACACAATAAAAAATATTTGTACATTTTAAGTCGGCTCTATATACAGTACAGGTATACCTTTCTTGACTGAGCCACTAAAAATATTTCACCTACATGCAGGGATGACACTTAAATGGGGAGAAAGCAGGTGTGGGTAGGTTCTAGTAACTACAGTGTAACTAAACAGTGCTCAGGAAGCCTTCTCTGTTTCTGTTATTGCATCAAATCATTTTAGCTTCAATTGGGTAAATTTACAATTGTTGTTCTGTGTGTTAGGTGCTGATTAGCAACTTGACAGAAAATATGTAAGCCCCTTTCTTTTATGCAGCAGTGTTTAGTGTAAGTTTGAAGAATAATGAGTGCAGTGACATCCAAACAAACAAAATAATATTCTTGAGCCACCTGATACACAAAACAGCTTCAAAATAAGTTCTGTATGTACTGCACTACTCTTTATTTATTTTTTGTGTATTGGAGGATTACTGTACTTTGAAAGGGTGTTTTGCTTGTTGTACTTAGTAAGGTACATATAAATTTATTCAAATTTTACTATGACTCAAATAAGGAATTGCCTGGTACCATAAAAATATTGATACTGTACAGTATTACTAACCAAAAGGAACTTTGTTAGAAGCCCTAATGCAGAATCATGAGCCAGCCTAGGTGCCCTGGCCAGTAGTGGCTCTCCTGTGTGAGCAGGAAAGGAATACTGGCCAAATTCTTCATTATTGCCAATACCAGCCCAATTTGCTTCTGTGGGCGTGCCAAAAGTACGGAAAATTAAGTGAAGTTCATCTTCAACCGTGGCACCGGGGAAAAGTGGTCGTCCACTGATCATCTCGTACATTATACAACCAACTCCCCTGTAAAATGAGAATGTTATAAGTAACTTAATGATTTAAAATTTTTACATACAGACAGTACTGCATTTACTTTTCATGAACCTGTCTATCCCCCCCCAAAATACACAGGGAATAGTTTGTTAAAATTTACTTCCATATCTCAACCTGCAGTATTAAAAAACAAAGTGCACAAAGATGAACATGGCACACAAGACGTTGCAATTGTTATACCTACACCATTTTTCAGGTTTGGGGGCAAATATAAATTATATCTGACTTTGCAAGATGATAATATAACTCACCACATATCAATTTGTGTGGAGTACTCTGTTGACCCTAGGAGGACATCCGGAGGTCGGTACCATAACGTAACAACCTCATTACTGTATGTCTTGGTTGGTACAGACTTGGCCCGAGCCAAGCCAAAATCTGCAAGCTGGAGAGAATAAAATGTAATTAATTATACACTGCACAGTAACATACATACATATATTCAAGTACAGTAAATGTGGGACAATACAGTATCCTTATATAAAATATAAAAGTAAAGAGAAAACTATTTAATGATTTGGGTGAAGACTGTCGTTTTAGAAAGATCACCTTATCATATGTACAGTGAGAGTGCTATGTAACAGAGAACTTCAAGTAGTAGTATACAGTTACCCCTCATCAATTCTGGATTTCCCATCTGCGGATTCCAGGTATCCACGGTTCTATTTGTATACCATTTCACCAACCATGGCATTGAATTTTGAGTATCCATGGATTAGTGTGGCACCTTTATCCCTCTACAGTCTAATTTATTCCTACATAAATACGAGGAATTAATAAAAATAATACCTGTACTAATAGATAAAACAAAAACAAAAACAATCTTTTCACTAAAGAAACGGGTAACAGGTACACACTCCCCCATCCCCCTCCCATGATTGTGGGCTAATTCCCACGCATATAGGAAATGTTTATTCTCATTTGTATTTGACCTTATGATAACTTTTTTTGTTTGCACATTCTGTATGAATGATTGTGTACTGAGTATATAAATAAAAAGTATATCTATTGAAGTTGCGAGTTGAAAACAAACAATAAAGCACCTCACAGCATGACCTAGCAGGGAGAGGCTGAGATCCTCACCACCATACCTCCCCCCCTTTCTAAGTTCCGATACTAACTCCCGTGGATGTAAGAAGTGTTTATTCTCTTTATTTACCTTTCTACACATTCTGTGTGGACGAATGCCTGTGCATGTAATAGTGCCATATATATATATATATATATATATATATATATATATATATATATATATATATATATATATATATATATATATATATATATATATATATATATATATATATATATATACTGCATATACAGTGGTCCCTCGGTTAACAACCCTGTTGTAAAGAGATGAGACAACATGCCTAGCTTTGTCATTTAAATATCTATTACCATTTCACACTTGCTTCTTCCTTTCTCCAACATTCAGTTCACTACAGCAAACTAATCTGGAAAAATCATTATGAAAATGTAATGGAACATTTACAAGATGAATCATTCAAGCACTAAAATGTTGCCTTTTTGTGTCATTACAAAAACTAAAAGTTACAGCAATATAATAATTCTTTACCTTTAGTTCTCCGAGGTCATTGATAAGAAGGTTCTGAGGTTTTAAATCACGATGCAAGACCCGTCGCTGATGACAATAAGCTAACCCACGTAGCAGTTGAAACAGGAAGATCTGCAAATAAAAGCATTACATTACTTTTTTGCTCATTTAAAGTGCCGTAGCTGCATAATTTAGTGATACTGAAAATCCAGAATAATCCTCATGTTACCTAACTCAAAAGGTTCTCTGCTCCAATTTTACTCAAGCAAACACAAAGAGCAGCTTCCAATGGTTGAACTGTCAAGATACCTACCTGCATGTCCAGAACAACATAACACCAGTCTGGGGTTTTTCCAACCAATTTTTTACACAAAAAATTAGACAAACCTCAAGTGAACATTACACTCAGTGGTGAGGCTGGTTCATGCGAGTCCTGAATGAATAAAACCAACTCAGGTTACCAAATTTACCAGACTTATATTTATATACCTTAATGTCAATGTCTTTTCTTGTCTATTTGTACAGATAAAGAATATTACCATACAATTTATTTATACGTCTCTTAATATAAATGTGCTCGACAGGATACCAGCATACTGTATTTACTTTTTTATGTACCCATGTGTCTTCTGTGGGCAGAACTGGGATCTCGGATAACAACTGGATGTATTCTCTGGATTACAGATGTTTGACAACCTCCAGGAAGATCCTTGATTACTGACACAATGCCACAGTGTAAACTGCCTTGAAATAATGTTTTTTTTAATACAGTACTGTACTGCTCAGCATGCAACACCTTTGTTTCTCTTGACATGACTCAACATATACAGTACCTTTTTTTACTTTATTACAATCCACCAATATATTCAAAATTTAATTGACACTGGTTATATAGTTTTAGCTGATACTGTACAGATTTATGAAACTGGCAACGTCAGTGACAACAACACTGATATACCCTACGGAATGATTTAATTTAAAATCTATAATCCTTCCACCGAACTAAATACAGTGGGGTATGCCATAACGAACGGATCCTACTACGAATATTCCTATAACGAACGGTTTACCTATAAAATTGAGAATGCTATAACGAACATTGTTTAAAAAAATTTTTTTTTTTTTTACTAATTTATTGTTTTTTATTACAAGTATTAATGATATTGGTTATTTCAGGGGTTTATATGCATATTTATGCACTTTTTTACAATTTTTACAATTTTATATTATATTTCTCACTGTTAAGTGGTTGTATTTGGGGGCCTGGAACGGATTAATCCTATAACGAACGAATGCTATAACGAACAAGGTTCTAGAACCAATTAGATTCGTTATAGCATACCCCACTGTACAATACTGGTACAGCTACTCCCTGACTTACGACCTACTCGACTTACGTCCACCCGCACTTACGACCTGCCTCAGTTGTACCAAAATTTGGTCAAATTATGTATTTTCAAGTCCCAAAGCCAGTACACAGACAAAATTTTAATCTGAAATTCACTTTAGAATGGCTGGCAAGCTTAAAAGTGAGTGTTTTGTGGTGCCGAGAAGAAAAAGAGACCCCCATTTTCGATTTTATGTGTGTTATTTAAGCATTTCCGATTTACGACCATTTCGACTTATGACCTGGATGTAGGTCCCTAACCCCGTCGTAAGTCAGGGAGCAGCTGTACTGTACATTACCGTTGCTGCAGTACCTATTACAGTCAGTACTGTTTTTACTAACCTAACTCATTCACCATTAACACTACCTGGCATACAAATATCCTGAAAGTGTGTTTTTACATCAAATTTTTAGGTTAACAAAAGTAACCATATTTATGTATCAGCAATTGTAATTAAAGTATCCAAGATAAAATTAAAGTACAGTACAGTACATTAACTGTTCGGTTTAAGTCTATCATGATTTTTCTCTAATAAGGTGGAAACTACTGATGTGTTGCATGGTTTACTTACCTTAACATTATTCATTGATAGTTGTGCTCCACATTCATCCATGTATTGTTTAAGATCACGGTCTAAATACTCAAATACAAGAGTTAAACTCTTGTCTGTATGAACAATATCATGTAATGTGACTGAAAAGAAAGATAAAGAAATCATTAGTACCATTATAAACACAGTTGTTTCTTTTAGAATAAGTACAAAAAGATCCATCACATAAATACATTATTTTTATCTGATTTCAGGTAAGATAAGTCCCCAGTCCAGACAGATACATCATGTCCACTTTATACAGTCAATGCAACTAAAATACTATGTCCCTGGATCACAATGACCCCCAGTACCAGCAGAATGCCACTCCCAGGTAAAAATTAATAGTGTTGTGGTTCTAGACTGGGAGTGGCATTTTGCTGGTACGAAGTTCAAATATCCAGGGATATTTCAGGTATGCCCTCCAAATTATGTAGAGTCTGGGAAACAAATACAATTAATGTTTATGGTTATAAAAAGTTTGAGAAAATTAAAAATCAAACACTTGATAATATTATATTTAAATGTGAAGGCTATTGCTCCAGAAAATAAATTTATAATATTGTACTGGTATTTTCAATTGGATGTATTGTACAAGGAATTCTTGTCATACTTGACTACAGTACGTATATTATCAGAAAGGGAATTACACTTGAACTCCCAGAAAGTTTTGAATTGGTGCCATTCACACAGAGTTGATGAAGTTCACTCACCAATATTTGCATGTTTGAGTTCCTTGAGCAGAGACACCTCCCTGATGGCTGTACATGGTGCACCCTCTTCATGTTCCAACCGAATCTCCTTCAGCGCCACTAGATTGTCAGTTAGTCGTGATCGTCCTTTGTACACTGTTGCATATGTTCCCTGTAAGATATAACTTTATAGTAATGAAAAAATAAAGTAACTATTGAAAAACTATACCCGTAGTCATTTTCTCAAACAATCATAACTAGGCCTTTTTTATTCACAAAATTAGGTGTTTACCCCTGGCACCAATACCTACTGTTGTGTAAATATTTTAAGAATATTGTTTATTCTTTATCAGAATTATTAGGTTCAAGTACTGAACAGATTTATGAATACAATATTGTCAAGTACATAAAAATTACCTGGGAAAAAGATTATAGAGCAGATAAAATAGTTGAAAAGATGAGAAATAGAATCTCTGTTCCCTGCATCTCTCTCTCTCTCTCTCTCTTTACAATATCAAACCTTTATCATAAAAATTGCTCCTAATAACTAAAATCATCAAATAAAATTTTTTTTACAGTAGACTGTACTGTACTAAATCCTAGTGTAAAGGCACACAAGATCAAGCCTAAAATTGAAAATAAATCTGAGCTAACACACCATGCAGAGTACACTGCTGGCTTTTATGTCTACTCACCTCTCCTAACTTATCAAGTTTGGTATATGTTTCCATTCTCCCAAAACCAATTTCTGATAGGGATTGTCTACGAGAAGCTCGGCTGAGAGGACCATCTGGGCTAATGGACTGCTTCTGAAGAAACGCATCTGGCACCCGCAAATCCGCTGGCAACGATAACCGTTTGTTGACATCCTGCAATAATTATATATTTACACAACACAGGAATAATAAGTAACACTCAAGATTGATAAATCATAATGCTATCTAATAAAATCCCTGTGTCTTTATACCAATTCCTACTGTATCACAAATGAAGGTCATTAATTAATAGGTATTGAATCATGTTTAATACTGCATTAATTACACCAGGTCGGTTCTCCTTTTACTATTGAAGAGTTTGCATTGTTTCAACAAATAATAATTCCTTCACCATAACAGTAATACTGTATTGCTAACTATTGGAAAAAATCAAATACTAAACCATACAGGTACAAAGTCTCATAAAAACTAACCACATTTAAAATAAGGGAGTAAATGATGACAAACCAACAATGTAAAATATACCAATGATATAATATTTTGGAATACATTTAAGTGTACAGTGCTAAACCAGTTTTTGCAGTGGAAATGCACAATTCTCCATGACTCACACCCACAATGTTCTCTAAAAACAAACTTTCTAGCCACTTGGCAGACCACCTGAAGAACAACTCTAATATGACATCACTCAGAGCCTACATATATTATCAGGGTTGACAAAAACTTGTTTAACAGTTTAAACAAGAGTTGACTATTAGACTACACCCATCAGTGGACACACAAACATCACATAATTCCCTTAAATTTTGACCAATGAGCTTAAAAAGGAAGTCTAAAATCATCTAATGAATCCAAATACTGTACCCTGTACAAACATAGACTGCATACAGTACAGTACTCGTATATCCAAGACATAACACAAACTACAGTTAAAAATCTGGAAATGTAATACTGTACAACTACAGTGCTAGATTATATGAAAACCCGGGGAACTGGATCCCTGGTGCACAATTTTGAGCCAAGAACCACAGTCGGAAAACTGTGTGTCCAGCTGTGAAATACCCAGATGTTAGGGGTAAAAGTCCAGCACAGTGGATCTCAAAACCAAGAGGGGCAAATGGAATTGTAATAAGTATCATACTCCCACCCAACACTGTTGGGTGGGAGTATGAACACAGTTCATCTGACAACAAATAGTTTCTAGGTCAAACACAAAGTGAGAAGTCAAATCAGGTCAATATGGAACAGCAGCAAGCAATATGAGACAAGCTTGGCCAGGTCAAGTGAGATAAACATGCTGACACTCAATGTGGTGGGACAGGTTGTGTGCAATGGGGTTGGTTATTGAGTACAGTACCTGCCACAGACCACCATGTGTGGCTGCTTCTTGACACAATTGTTAAGGAAGATCTCTATCTGTTGCATCATTTCAGAGCAAGGCGATCATTTGACCAGACACCAAGGAAGAGCGAGCTTGGAACACTGCCATTGTAATTTCAGTGAAAAACAGTGAAATCTAGCTTTCAATTAAGAGGTTTCAATGTCGTGTTCTTTGTCACAATATTAACCTTGTTGGAAAACTAACAACTGACATTTTATCAACAAATTATGGTTCGTATTTAAATTACCACATTCAGGCAGGTAAAAAATAGATCAAACCAAATAAATATGAAAAAGTGGTGCGTGACCAAAAATAGAGTTGTAACAAACTTAACAGTTCTGCCCTTCCACTGACTCAGAGGTACAGTACTATACTGTATTCAATTCATCTCTGGAGTGTAAGTGGATGGCAAGTATGGAGGTTGAGCACATTAAACAGTTAAACATTAAATCTGCTGAATGCTGATGACCCAAGATCCTAAAATACTGTCCATACACACAAGTCTTGATGGAACGAGTGTATTGCAGAAGCTCTGGTGGCAGTAAATGGTGAAATAAAAAACAAAAAAAGTAGCAGAGGTAGACTGAGTGTGTTAGAATAAGTTGTGAATTATGGGATACAGATGATGGGACTGCAGTGATGTAATGGTTTATGTACAGTTTAATAAAAGTACAGGTTTTTAAAAATAATAACAATAATCAAGAGGAGTGAACTAAACAGTGATATGAAAAAAGTGTATGACAGAAGAATGTATGAGAGTTACGAATATACCAGGTAGATGGAAAGATAAAAGACCATGTGACTTAGGTAGACACACTGAACTACGTGTTAAGGTAGACACACTGAACTACGTGTTAAGGTAGACACACTGAACTACGTGTTAAGGTAGACACACTGAACTACGTGTTAAGGTAGACACACTGAACTACGTGTTAAGGTAGACACACTGAACTACGTGTTAAGGTAGACACACTGAACTACGTGTTAAGGTAGACACACTGAACTACGTGTTAAGGTAGACACACTGAACTACGTGTTAGTGGTTTTGAGGGCAAATTATTCTGGAACATAGATGTGATCAAATATCCAGGGTATTTACATGTCGAACTGGTTGACACATGGTAGCTCACGACACATGCCTGTACCTCAAAACAATCTACTGTGTTGTGTTAGAGCATCGCCATCTGGGTCTTTTTTTAAAACTGGCTCAACAGGATGTCAACAACACTTGCCTCTTGTGTAATGCGTCGATTTTTATTCTGCCTGAGTTTAACGTTGACGGGTGAGGTGACTTCATCGCTGGCCCCTGACGCCTCCTCACTCTCTCCATCACTGCCAATCCTGGGAACCTCATGCACCACACCTGCAAGATAACACAATATACTTAAGAAGGGAAGAAAAAATAGCAACTTAAACTTAACTTGCTTTTTAAGTGGCCCAAATTTTGCACTCAATGATTTCCTATTGACAGAAATATAACAGGACGAAATTCAACAATTTTTCTGGTCAAATTCATCCAAGATCTTAATAGGTTACATCCACATTTTAAATAACATCAAATTTCTTTTCCGACTGTTTCATTTAGCATATAACAAGTTGGGCCTAACCCAGCACACGGGTCATAATTCCCTCAAATTCTGAACACACGGGAAATAATGACTACAACCAACAAAGACTTTATTGGGCAAACATCCACACTGCATCAAAATCTGTTAATTTTTATCCGAATTACCATAATCACTATAGAATATACACAGGAAAGCAAAGTGAACCACAACTTAAAAAAAAGTTAGGAAAAATTGACATACAGGGGTTCTCAACCAGGGGGGAATTTCCCCCCTCAGGTTTTCGGGGGGGGAACTGATACTAATATGGAAAAAATAAAGGATTTTCAGTATTATATGCATATTATTTGGAATGCACTTTTTGAGGCAGACAATCTTGGAAAGGAGGGGGGAATGACATTCTGACATATGGTGAAAGGGGTGCATGGGGCAAACAAGGTTGAGAACCACTGTTGTAGAGGGTTTCATCCACGTTCTTTTCACTTGTTTAATGGGGTGACCCTGATGATTCCAGATACGATGACAAGAGTGGCCGCCTGGGGAATGAGTGGAAGTGACATTTAACTTTTCATCAAGTGATATTTAAGAAGTGGTCAAGTGATATTTGTAATACAGGAAATGCGGAAAGTGAAAAAAAATACCACTTTTATTAATTATGTCTTTATAACACGGAGGGTGCGTTTAACTGACTGAGCATCAATTACTGTGTGGCCTCCTGACAATAATTACGAGAACGACTTATAATTAAATAATTTCCTAAGATGACATATCAGAATTTTCATTTATGAGCTTTGAACATTTGGGTCATGTCGAAATTGCACCGCCTCCTGTTACTCTTGTCAGAGGAGAAATATCGACCCTAATGTGTTCAGTGATTACGGGAGAGATAAAGTATACAGTACATATCATAATGAACATATTAAGTTATATTTTGGCCTGTGTGTGTGTGATATAACATATGGTAGATGCAGGTTATGTCACGAAATGTTTATTCCTTTTCAATATAAATACTGAATTTACAAATGGTGGCATGGATTTTAAACGACTCTGGAACACGCCGCCTTCTCCTCCTCCTCCTTTGTAAACCATCAAACAACACAACAGGGGCAGGAAACACATCCCCTGTCTGGTCATAACATGATGTTATCACTCAACCTCGCTTGAATATATATATATATATATATATATATATATATATATATATATATATATATATCTCTCTCAAGAACTTAAACAAGTGAAAAATTTTGTGCATTAGAGAAATAACATTACCTACGATGGTAGATGTATGGAAGAATTAAAAAACAATAATAGGGGAAAAACAGCATATAACAATCTAAAAGACCTAATGAAAATTGAGAAACTTCAATTTAGGAAAAAGGCTGCTGAGTGGCTTTACAGTATACGGAAATGACTATTGTGTGGGTCAGATGCGTGGACACTTGGCAGACACCAGAAAGTGGTTGAAGGACTTTGAAATGTGATAGGCGAATGCTAAGAATAAGCTACACTGACAGGAAAACAAATGAAGTACTAAGATCAGCACAAAATTCAAGAGCAATACTTTAATGTACAAACAAAAAACGAAAAATAAGCTACTTTGAACATATATATAATAATTTGGGATGCGGGGATAATAGCAAATATTAACGAACAAAGTTGAAGGTGGGAGGGTTAGGGGAAGGTAGAGACTGGGATAGATGAATGGAATTAAAAACTGGTTCCCCAAAGAGATACAACACCTTAGAGGATTGGTAAAAACAGCCCGAGAACGTTTAGAGTGGAGGACTGTGGTCGTCAATACTAAGATTACAAGGATTCAGCAGGCATTTGGCGCACCATAAAAAGAAAAAACAGTGACCATGATCTCACTCTCTGTTTCACGACCAGAACAATTGCGTCACAACACTTCTGAAACAACTCCAATTTGGCCAACTAATTATTCATAAACTCACAACAATTATCCTCAGTCTGGTTCGGCAATAAATTCCTGGTTCCTAAAATGACCGCCATAATTTTCAGCATTCGGAGAGCTATTACAGTATACGTAAATCTTTCCTTTCAGCAGAATTCTCCAATATCTGTTTTAATGTAATAAATGTTGCAATATCATGAATCACAAGCAATATAAATAGGCTGTGTAATACTGTACGTACATATAACTGTCGTCTTTCCTAAATGGAGACTAAAATAAGAGCGTAACAGAACAGCAATCTTGACGAACCTGACATTGAGGAAAAAAATAAAATAAAATAAATAAATAAATAAATAAAAGTTATGATTTTTTCAACATTACCTCTTCCCATAAATTTTAAACCTATGCACCACCCTCCCCCTTCTCTATTTACACTATCCTCTAATAAATTTCAATGTTTGTATCTTGCCATCCCCTGCTATTAAGGGTTTATCCCCCTACAATCACTTTCGGTGTTTGCCGCCCACTCCAGCACATTCAATGTTTACCTCATACCTGTATTTTTTTAGGGCCGTCTCCCCTAAGCAATTACAATTTTTGTGTTATTTCCACTGCTCACCTACCCATGCATATTCAATGTCAGCATCCGACCACTTGTACTAAAGGGTTGTTATCAATATTCACGACGTGATTACTGTACTCATAGGGTTGGTATCGTACTCAATAGATTGTCATTGGACTCGCAGGGTTGTAACATACTCACGACTCTTAACTGTACTGGTTTATCTTATAGCGAGTCCTTCATAAACGTAGCCACTTTGACAGGCGGACACATGTAACAGGAACAGCAGCAGCAGTATATTAAAAATTAGCACTTGGACAGCAACAGCGGGTAGAGTATACAGTAGATGGTATACAAACGCTAGGAGCAACTTGGGTAAATGACGCTCCTGAGGTACTGTACAACACACCGCAAGGCCGCTACACTCGCCCACGCTGTGTACTGTGACCCCTCAACACTCCCACGCTGTGTACTGTGACCCCTCAACACTCCCACACTGTGTACTGTGACCTCTAAACACCCCCCACGCTGTGTATTGTGACCTCTAAACACTCCAGGTCAACAATAACACTCACGATTTAACAATAACATATTTACACATTCACAATTTATACACCCGAGCGTCTATCTCAAAACTCACTAAGTGTTGTTTCCATGTGGTCTCAAAACTCACTAAGCTTGTATCCATGTGGTCTCAAAACTCACTAAGCTTGTATCCATATGGTCTCAAAACTCACTAAGCTTGTATCCATGTGGTCTCAAACCTCACTAAGCTTGTGTCCGTGTGGTCTCAAAACTCACTAAGCGTGTGTCCATATGGTCTCAAAACTCACTAAGCTTGTATCCATGTGGTCTCAAAACTCACTAAGCTTGTGTCCATGTGGTCTCAAAACTCACTAAGCGTGTGTCCATATGCTCTCAAAACGAACACCAGAATCATCAATAAGACGACAGGGATGGTTAAGGTATCCATCCGGTACCCTGAATGGTTAATATTATACTGTTTAACATATATCCTAACTCTGATAAGATACCGGGAAACACACGGATCATGTCAAGATTAAGGCTTATCACCTGACGATCCACAACACCCTAATGCTACCAGGTGGGTGGGTAAGCGTAAGGGTTGGTGACCTCTGACCTTCTATAAGCACACCCCCCCCCTACATTACGCCTCAACGGTACCATCACTTTAAACATAATTTTCTACACGGGCCTAGGAAACCTGACCCACCTCCGCCACACACACACGAGAGAGAGAGAGAGAGAGAGAGAGAGAGAGAGAGAGTGTGTGTGTGTGTGTGTGTCGTACCATCACCAAGACAGACGAAGCTGGTGGTGTAGTGTTGTGAGTATATTTTCCAGGCCTGGTGACGTCCGCAGATATCACAACAGTGCCGGAAATGGTCAGTAGATAAACAGAGAGGGAATGGAGGGATGGGGGGGAGGTAGATGGAGGAGGGAGGGGAGGTAGATGGAGGAGGAGGAGGGAGGGAGGATGGGAGGGAGGAGGAGGGAGGAGGAGGGAGGAGGGAGAGAGAGGGAGGGAGGAGTAATGGGAGAGAGGGAGTAATGAGAGAGAGAGAGAGAGAGGAATGGAGAGGAATGGAGAGAGGGAGGAATGGAGAGTGGGGAAGGGATGGGGGGGTGTGTACACATTACCATCCCCGGTTTAGCAGACGCCTTTAACCTCCCCCCCACCATAATGACTGCAGATATCACCCCCTCCACATTTCCTTCCTCCCTCTCATCATCTTCATCACACACCTCTTCCACCAACACCACAACCGCACATCCATCATCGCCTCCTTCCCCTATCACCACTACAACCACACCACTTCCCCCATCACCACCACACTGCCTCCTCTTCCCCCATCACCACCACACTGCCTCCTCTACACGGCCGCTTCACTGGCAGCGACAACCCAAGCCTCGAATCAAGTGGTCATGAATATTTGTGTCAATCTACGTATACATAAGATCAAGTTACAAGTGTACATGGCCAACACACACACACACACACACACACGTCTTGAAAAAAAATCAGGGAACCAATCCATACCTCCCCCAGGCCCCGCCCAGCGAGACTTTGAACCGCGTCAGTCCTGAATCCCCGTCGAGGTTACTGACTTGTGACCTTACTACCAGCGGCGCCCTCTCGTGTACCCGCTGGGTCTCCACACGTGCCGCCCGCAGCGATGTCTGGGTCACCTGCAGAGGCCCTGGGATATATCTGGTAAAGCCAGCCCACCACCACCACCGCAGTCTGTTTGTCTTTTTCTGCCTGCGCCGTGTGTGTGTGTGTGTGTGTGTGTGTGTGT